CTCCATGCACCGGGAGCCCGATGTGGGATTCGATCCCGGGTCTCCAGGATCGCGCCCTGGGCCAAAGGCAGGCGCCAAACCGCTGCGCCACCCAGGGATCCCAGATGTCTGTATCTTTGAAAAATGCATAGTGTTGCTGTATGTGTCTTTTAACTTGCATGAACAATATCGTGCTACTTATTCCTTCCTGTGTTTGTTTGTTGAGGAATCTCAATTTGTTAGAGAATCCACATTCAATGGCTTTATTCTTTCAAGTCCCCCCATGTCAAAGCTTCTTCCCTCTTTCAAACATCATTTTGGGCAGAATATACAGTTTCTAGTCACTTTTAGTTATTACATACCCTGTCTGATTACAAGTCTAGATTTAAAAATTGATTTGATTTACACCTTGCCAAGCCCTACCACATCTCCCTCATTCAGTGCCCCTGGGAGTGGGAGATGGGGGAGGTTCCTCACTTCTCCAAACTATCAGGGATCTGGAGACTGGGGTGAAGACTCTTGAGTCTCACTCAACTCTCTTTCTACCCTGGCTTTCTTTTCACTTCCATTTGGATGGTCAACACTTGTCTATCCCCTCACTTTCAATCTGCACCTGTCTTTAAATCTGAAAGTAGTCTTTTGTAGGCAGTGTATAGATGACTCTTGCTTTTTTATCTGTTCTATCACCATGTCTTTTGATTGGAGCATTTAGTCTATTTACATTCAAAGTAATAATTAATAGTTATGTACTCATTGACATTTTTTACTTGTTTTATGGTTGTTTTTGTGGTTCTTCTCCTTTCCTTTCTTCTCTTGCTCTCTTCTCTCACAGTTTGCTGGCTTTCTTTAGTGATAGACTTGGAGTGCCTCTCTTTACTTTTTGGGTATTCTATTGCCAGTTTTTGATTCATGGTTACCATTACATATGTTACGTGACATTTCCCACATATAGCAGTTTATATTAAGTTGATGGTCACTTAAGTTTGGACCCATTCTTTACTCCTCTCCCCACTACCCCATGTTTTAGGTATATGGTGTCATACTTTAGATCCTTTTGTTTTGTGAGTTCCTGGACTGATTTTTATGGATATAGTTATTTTTACTGCTTTTGTGCTTCCTACTCTTCTTAACTCCTGCTTATGGTCTTTCTTTTCCACTCAAACCATCCCCTTTAACATTTTTTGTAGGGCCAGTCTAGTGGTCATGAATTCCTTAACTTTTGTTTGTTTGAGAAACTCTTTATCTCTCCTTTTATTCTGAATGGTAGCCTTGCTGTATAGTGTTCTTGGTTGTAGTTTTTTTTTTCCTTTCAGCACTTTGAATATATCATGCCACTTTCTTCTGGCCTGCAAAGCTTCTGCTGAAAAATCAGCTTATAGCTTTATGGGGAGAGTGTTCTGGAGGGGCTGGTTCCTGTAGGTGTCCATGTATCTAGGTTGGGGAGGGGGGCAGCAGGGAAGGAAACAGTATCTGCCAGCTCTTTCGTTCCTGGAGAAGTCTCCCAAAGATTCCTGCCCCTTTAGCACACATGCTGAGATTAGTAAATAAATGTCCTCATATACCCTAGGTGTTTTTTATAAACTGCTGCTTCTAGTGCTGTATCTCCACAGCTGTTTGTTATGCTGTCTCTTTAAGAGCAAGGACTCAGTTTCCTATCACCCCTGGCTCTCCCAGAGTTGAGCCACTGATTTTTAAAGTTCCAGGTATTTCGCTCTACTGATTGTAAGAACTGCCAAAGTTAGGCCCCTCTGGTTCTCAAAGTCAGATGTTATATAGGTATTTGTCTTCCCAGTGGCTTCCCTTGGGCCTGGGGTGGGGTCTGCTCTTCTCTCCTCCTTGCACCTATGGCATCCCCCCTTCCCACAGATGGTAATACAGGTTAGTTTGGCTCCTGACTGAATCTCCACCCTTCCTACCCTCTTCAATGTGGCCTCTCCTCTGCATTTATCTGTAGGGAGTCTGTTCTGCCGGTCTTTAGGTCATTTTCTGGTTTATTTACTCTGATGTGTTATCTAGGTGTATCTATGGGATGAGGTGAGCCCAGGATACTTTTACTCTGCCATCTTCCCCAGAAGTCTCTCAACTCTGTTTCTCTGCTTGTTAATGTTCAGGGTGTCCCTACATATACTAAATATTGACCTCTAGCTGGTTTTATTTTTTTTATTTTTTATTTTTTTCTCTAGCTGGTTTTAGATGGAGTAAATGCCCTATCTTAATTCATAATCTATGTCCAGTGAGATTTGGTGTCCTTCACTGAATAGTCATAATTTTGATGTAATTAAGCTCAACACATCTCCCCTTTGTGGACTTTGAGTCTTATTTTCAAACATATGCTTCATCTCAAGTCAAAGTTATGGTCCTACATATTTTTTTAAAGATTTTATTTATGTATTTGAGAGAAGAGAGAGAGAGCAAGAGAGCAAGCATAAGCCCAGGTTGTGGGGGGAGAGGCAGAGGGAGAAATAGACTCCCCACTGAGTGGAGAGTCTAACACAGGGCAGCCCCAGTGGCTCAGCGGTTTAGTGCCCCCTGCAGCCCGGGGTGTGATCCTGGAGACCAGGATCGAGTCCCACGTCGGGCTGCCTGCATGGAGCCTGCTTCTCCCTCTGCCTGTGTCTCTGCCTCTCTCTCTCTCTCTCTCTCTCTCTATCTCTCTATCTCTCATGAATAAATAAAGAAAATCTTTAAAAAAAAAAGAGAGAGTCTAACACAGGGTTCGATACCAGGACCCATGATATCATGACCTGGCTGAAGGCAGACGCCTAACCAACTGAGCCACCCAGGTGCTCAGGTCCTACATGTTTTTAATGAGTCTTATCTTTTTAACTTTCTATATTGAGGGCTTTAATTTCTCTGGAGTTTTGTTATGGTAGGATCCAACTTTACATTTCTTCATCAGTTTCCCCACCATTACAACAGAGATCTTTTTTCCCAGAGCTTTCTGGGGCATGTGTCATATCTCCTCATGTGCAGGCATCAGGTTAGCTCTCCAAAGCACAATTGGCCTATTTACCTATTTTTTAAAAAAGATTTTATTTATTTATTCATGAGAGACACACAGAGAGGCAGAGACACAGCAGAGGGAGAAGTGGGCTCCCTGTGGGGTACCTGATGCAGGACTTAATCCCTGGATCATACCCTGGAACCCCAGGTTCATACCCTGAGCCAAAGGTAGATGCTCAACCACTGAGCCACCCAGGCATCCCCTATTTTCCTATTTTTATGTCAGCACCACAGTTTCTGTAACTACAGCTTTGAAATATATCTAACTCTTTGGTAGGTCAAATCTGCCCCCAGCCTGACTCTCCAATTTGCTCTTCTTTCTCATGCCTGTCATAGAATTCATGGACTATTATCCTTCCATATCAATTTTAGAATCATATTGTCAAGGTCCTGAAAAAAAATCTGTCTGGCATTTTGTTTGGAATTGCTTGCACTTTAGAGATTAATGTAAGGAAGATTGACACTGTTATCTTTTTAAATTGTTTTTACTCTCTATTGAAGAGACAAAAGAATATGGAGATTAAAGAATAATACAACCAACAGCCATATCCTCCTTCCCAAGCCTATGAAATAGTGCAGCATTACCAGAGACTCTGAACCTTCCAGTTCAGAAGTGTAATAATCCCTGAGTATCAAGCCATGAAGGCTCTAATTATGCTCTCGTTTTTTTCCTGCTGGCTGGCATTTGCTCGCAGTATCTTGACTTCCTTATGTGTGGGGTGATGTTTTAAAAAGTGAGGAAATGTTCTTTAGGGTGTTCTCTGTGAGAATTCTCTGAAGCATAGCCTCCAAAGTGGGTTCCTTCAGACAGAATCTATACTTGCTTTTGCTGGATAGCTGGGCACATGACTAACCCAGGTCCACTTTGAATGACATCCTTGGCTTGGGTTTTTTGAACTGTTCACGTAGTGTGAATTCCATCTGCAAGTTTATATGAGGGCAGGTGTTCCCAGTTTCTCCTCACTCAGAGGGCATGGTCCTTTTTTGGAGGTATTGCTTTTTGCAAGAGGTTTTAGGCTTCCCTCCTTGCACAGGCCCTGGGTTTTGCCTTTTAACTCCTGCACCGATGAACGAGACTGTGGAAACAGAAGCTCAGTTTCACTGGGTCTGGCAAATGGCTTGGGGACCAAAGTCATGTGGGCTTTGCTGATCTCTCTGGGTTTTAGCCCTCCCTTAGGTTTTGGACTCTGAGGCATCTTTATTTTCTTGCCAGCTCAGCCATACCTTTAAAATGATGTTTTTCAACATCATACATATTTAGTGATCTACAGCAAGGTCAGGCAGGGTATCTGGTCTTCCATACTATAGGAAGCCAAATGCTGAGCATTGACATTTTAAGTCACCTCACTTAAGAACAAAAATATATATTTACCTGGTTGTCCTTATTTTATATTCTTAGGTCTAGTTTTATTGTTTTTTCCCTTAAATGTCTCATGCAGTCTTCATTAGATTATATTCTTTAAATCTTGGTTTGAATTACATTAAAAAATATATGTAGATAGAGCTGTTTTTCTGATTTACAAAACTTTTCAAGAATACAGAAAAGTATAAAGTTTAAAAAAAATCACAAACCCACCATCAGCAGACAGAACAGCTATTACTTTTTGATGCATGCTGTTAGAAACATTATTCTTATACATGCATCTGCTTTGTACAAAACTAAGGGGCTGGTTTGCATTTCAAATAGCCACTCTGCAGGCAGGAGTGTAGGAAAAAAAGAATGGTCAAGGGCAGCACCTTGGAGGCCGGCTAAGATTTTGGGGAGGGCAGAGGTGGGGACCAGGGGCTTCTGGTCAGAGAATTAGCAGGAGAATGAAAAGAGAGGCCAGTGTGATCCTGAGCTTCCATGTCACAGAGCAGGTTCAGAGCTATGCCTCATTATCAGGGATGGCCCAAGCTTAAGGCAGCTCATGCTGAGGATGTGGGCTGGGAAGGTGTGACCTTCTCCAGAGACTGCAGTGAGGGCTTCTAGCTGCCTCTCTCATGCCTCTCCTCCTCCTCTCCCCTCCCCTCCACAGGACAACTCTGGCAGCTCCCTTGTGTGCCAGGTGAACAACACTTGGATTCAGATGGGGGTGGTGAGCTGGAGCCTTAGCTGCAACCGGCACCACCTCCCAAGCATCTATACCAGCACCTCCCAGTTCACCCACTGGATCAAGAGGCAGATCAGCGACATGAGGTTCATCAGTAGGGGTGATCCTGCCTTCCTGAGCCCGGTCGCCCGCACTGGTTACATTCTGCTGGTGTCCTTGGGCTCCCTGTGGCTCCTTTGAGTGATGTTTCTGGGGCAGGTCCTCCCAGAGGCCACTTCTTCCTCCCTCTGGCTCCCTCAGGAGATGTGCAGACCTAGGGAGCACATGACATCAGGACAGAGTGCCCTCGGGGGAGGGTCCCAGAGCCACTGGTTTTTAAGTTGTTCAATGAAGATGCTCTTGAGTTTTGCACCACAGAAGTCCTCTTTCTTCTTGACCGTGTCCAGAACCCTTCTGAGCCTCCCTAGCCCCGGGACGCCTGTCTTCTCAAGGGGGGCCTTCCCTGAAGGGCTCACTTGTGCCAGAGCCCTGCTGCCCCAATGGAGGAAGCATGGGGGTGGCTCAGACCCAGTGGGCCTCAGGTTCAGAGCCCTTGTCCTATCGGTGCCAAGGGTAGTAGGTATGATTTGCTGTCTTTGCAGAGACTGGAACACTGAATGGCCAGCCTGAGTGTCTCCCAAGACAGCAGGTCCTGGCAAAAGTTAGAGTGTCCTGACTTGATTTCACGTTCACTTAGAAGTTCCCAAAAGCTTTGAAGGAAAGCTGCTCGTAGGATTTCTCCCACTCTACTTATTACATGTGTTATCTATGTCATTGAGCTGTCAGAGTGTTCCCTCAATTCCAACATACCTTAAAGTGGCCTTCTGCTCCAGAAAGGTTGGTTGGCCACCATCACTCAACCTTACCTACATGGTCTTTCCCAAACAGAGAGACCTCTTAAGAGAAGAATATTGGCTGAATGGAGGTGGAGGTGGGGTGTGGGGATGCTGCTTAAAATGATGCAATCTTCAAAAATCCTTCGGGAAGACCTTTTCAGCTGCTTAGTTTCAGTGCCCTGGGGCCAAGCCCCCCTGTAGTTAGCAGGCTGGGGGGAAGGTGGGCCACTTGGAAATCCTGGAGGCCAGCCCCAGGGTTGGGGCTCATCTCACCAGGGGAAGGATGAAAGCCTGAAACCAGCCCAGGGCAGCGGGCTGCGGGGGCGAGGAGGTCCAGGGATTGGCTGGGCTAGGTTGAAGGGGACTCCGGGAAGGGCCTGGCCAAGGGGGTAGAGGTGTGGTGCTGAAGGGAAGCCGGCGGGCGGACTCGGGGAGCGCCCCCGCGGGCGGCCACTGGGGGGCGCCCGCGCGGGCCCGGGGCAGGAGCGCGCTCGTCCCCGCACAGCCGACGCGGGCGCGGGCGGCAGACGGGGGGCGCCGTCGCGAGAGGAGCTCCGCAGCGCGCTCGCTGCCACCCCCAGCCCCGGATGGAGCCTGCGTGCAGGACGCGCGCCCGCGGGCAGGGCCGCCGGGGCCCGGGGACGTTCGCCCTTCCGCTGCTGCTGCTGCTGCTGCTGCTGCTGCTGCCACCGCTGCCGCCGAGGCCCGCGGGTGAGCCCCCGCCCCTCCCCCGCCCGCAGTCCTCCCGGGGCCTCCACTGACCCGTCCCGGGCCTCGTCCGACTCCGCTGTGCGTCCTTCCGCAGGCTGCGTGGCTGGCCCGGCGCCAGGGACACCGTCCGAGCCCGCTTCCGACGACCCTGGCGTCCCCTGTGACCCCAGGGCCACCTGCCCCTCAGGCGGGCCTCGCCTCCCCCGCCAGGTCCCCACCGACCCGGACCCGCCGCAGCCCTCGACCTCGCCGGCCTCCCCGGCCTCCCCGGCCTCGCCGGCCTCCCCGGCCTCGCCGACCTCGCCGGCCTCCCCGGCCTCCCCGGCCTCCCCGGCCTCCCCGGCCTCGCCGACCTCGCCGACCTCGCCGGCCTCCCCGGCCTCCCCGGCCTCCCCGGCCTCGCCGACCTCGCCGGCCTCCCCGGCCTCCCCGGCCCGGACCGTGACTGTTACTGAAGAGGTATTCCCCAGTGAGTACCGTGGCCTCGCCGGGGAGGAGGGTGCGGGGCGGAGGAAGGGGCAGGCAGGAGGGAGAAGAGAGTTCCTTTTGCAAGGGTTTTTACTGAGCGTCTACCGTGGGCCAGGCAGGCGTCCCGCCTGGTGAGGTCGGAGGCAACGGGAGTCCGCGGGGCCTGGGGTGGGCTGCGTGTTTCCGCCTCCCTCAGCCGACCCAGGAGGCTCCCAGCCAGGGATTTAGGGGATCTCCCGCACAGCTTCCTGGAAGCCTTCCCGTGGCTCTGGGGGTCACACCCATAGGCCACCGTCTTTCCAGCAGTGGCTTTTCCAGCACGTTGAGCGAGGATCCACAGAACTACTTCCTATCCTGGAACTCCGAGCCCATGAGCTAGTGTGTGCAGACGTCCCCCTCTGTTAGGCTGGACACACACGGGTGCCAGCCCATGCACGCTGATCTCACAACCCACTAACTGCCCAGGAAACAGCAGGGCTGGGCTCCTGTGAGATTGGATGCGTGATCTTCAGGGTGAGAACTTTTCCAGAGTGGCTGTACCCACCAACATCCCCTCACCCAAGCCAGCAGTGAGCAAGCTGGAGCGGTAACCCTCACCAACACTTGGTGTCGGGTGGGTGAATTTTGCCTGGCAGGTGGTGTGGAGCAGAGCCTCCGTGTGCTGCAAGTCTACACTTCCCGGAGGACCAGCTTCTGTGTTGGCGCGGCGGGGGTGTCGTCCTGGGGGCGTGTCTGTTCATGCCCCTGGCCCACTCTCCTTTTGGGTCCTATCAGTGAATCACAGGAGGGCTCCCAGAGGAGGCAGAGGGGACTGCCTTGGCCGAAGTAGAAAGGGCCAGATGGAAACGCGGATGAGTTTCTGAAGGATCTGGCCAGAGCTCGGGGGGCCAAGGCTGCACCAGGCGGGTGACTGGGAACCTCTGGGGCTCATGCTTTGGGAGCAGAGAGAGTGCTCCCTGGGGGACACTGAGGCCCTTTGGAGGCTGCAGACTGCAGTCCTCATGTGGAAAAAGAGAAATCCAGTGGGAAAAGAGAATCACTGCCTGAGTGTGGCCCACAGCTGGAGAGGCAGGAGGTGGGGCTGAGGGGAGGCAAGGGATGGTGCCTTGGGATGGGGCTGCGGGGTCCCATGCTGCATCAAGCTCTCACCTTCCTCCTCAGCCTGTGGCTCCTCCCAGGAGCAGGACCCCACCCTCAGGGACCCGGAGTCCATGGCTCGGCGGTGGCCATGGATGGTCAGTGTGCAGGCCAATGGCACACATATCTGCGCAGGGACCCTCATTGCCTCCCAGTGGGTGCTGACCGTGGCCCACTGCCTGATCCAGTGAGTCGGGGCCTAGGTGGGTGGGTGGAAAGGGCGCTGGTCCGTCGGCAGCTGCTGTGCCCTCTGCACTTTCCCGAGATCCTGGCCCCCACCTCACTCCTGCTCTCAGCAAGGGGAGGCTGAGTCCCAAAGATTCCTTGTCCGAGGATGGGTGGGGGGTGTGTGCTGCTCCCCTCACCTGGCTCCCCAGTCCTTCACAGTCATGCCACAGATAAGCGACGGGGGCTTGGAAGCCCCTGGCCAGGGCCTCCTTTCTGTTGCTAGCCAGAAAGGAGGTCCTAATTCTTTCATTCCACACCCTTTGCTTCAGTTACTCATTCCTGCCTCCATCTGACCCATAGCCCTTGACATTCCCTTGAAGCCAGGCCCTGGCCTGGGCCCTGGGGGCAGAGAGGGGACACATGACTCCTCTTGGGTTGCTGGGGAAGGCAGATGAGAAGACAGGTGCTCACAGGGGAGTCTGGGCAATGTGGGGCCAAGAGAGAGGGCATGCCTATCTTCAGGAGCCAGGGCAGTGGCCTGAGGGCAACATCTGTGCTGCCTGGAAGAGCCTGCTCCAAGTCTAAGCACCGACCTGGAGACTTGAGGGCCATACTGGGAAAGGAGGCTGGAGGGCTGATTGATGGTGCCAGGCCTCTGTCACTTCCAGGGCGCTGCACGGGGTGCCAGACAGAGTCTAGAGTTTGGAACCAGAGAACACTGGATCCATGTCCCAGCACTGCCACTTGCTGGCTGTGTAGCCTTGGAGCTGATTGCTAGGCTTCTCTGAGCCTCAGTTTTCATCTCCATGAAGTACAGGGTTGCTGTAGAGGCTGGACCACATAGTGTGTGAGCAGGGCCCTGTTCACATCTGTTGCGAGAGGGCTGGGGTCAGGGGGCTTGAAGCAGGTGGGTGGCCTGCCTGTATTTGCTCCGAGTGTGACAATGGAGTGGAGGCATGGGGTGCGGTGCCTGGAGCTGATGACAGACCCCCCCTCGTGTTTCCCCTAGGCATGATTTTACCTATTCAGTGCGGGTGGGGAGTCCAAGGATTGATGAGGTGTCTCAGACAACATCTGACATCCCGGTATACCAGGTCATCTTAAACAAAGAGTACCGGTCCCGTCAGTACTGGTCCTGGGTGGGCCGGGCCAACGACATTGCCCTCCTCAAGCTCGCATGGGCAGTCACGTACAACAAGTACGTCTGGCCCATCTGCCTCCCTGGCTTGGATTTTGAGGTGAAGGACGGCTCCCTCTGCACTGTGACAGGCTGGGGACTCCCCAGGGTTAACGGTGAGTCCGGGCCTCCCCAGACTGGATGGGGAGGTGGGGTGAGAGAGGACCCAGGTGCAGGCTGGGTTCTCCCATGGACAGATGTTTCTGAGACACCTTCCTGTCGCAGTCTCCTCACCTTCCCCTTAGGGGTCTTGGCAGTGAGTGCATCATGGCCATTCAGGCCTTAGGGGTTCCAGATTGCCCATGAACCCTCAGCCCCGGGCCAGGACTTCCTGGAAGGCAGAGGGGCACAGAGTAATAACTCACTGTCTGTGTGTAATCCCAGGACATCCAGGACTTGAAGCAGAACATCTGGAAGTGAGAGGAGCTGTAAAAAGTTCCCCCAAAGATCCCACATGGTTGGCTAGGGGCAATGTGCACCCTTAGAGTTTGAAAGTCACTGAGTCCACATGTGGCTTCCCTCTGCCCCCAATGGACCTCACTTGATCCCTTTATCATCGCAAGGGATGGAGCAAGGCCCAGAGAGTGGGAGTGTCATCCTGGGCCCATCCAGGGGGCGTTTCCTTATGAGTGTTAGGAATGCCCAGTGCATTCAGGGAGCCCCTGTTTTTCATAAGAGAGGTGCTCTTCCCTATGGCTTCAGGGAGCCAGCTTGCCTAAAAAAATGGTGGCTTCAGCTTGGGGGTGAGGATGGCTGTCTCTCCTGCCATAGCCTATCTGGGGAATGGCTGAGGATGGTTGGAAGTCTGTCTGTCCCCCAGGGGCTCTGGCTAGAGACAGAGTCATACTGGTGAGAGGGAGGAGGAGACAGGACAAGGGAGGGAGGGATGGGAGGACACAGTTCCTGGGGCCCAGAGAGGGGGGGTCCAGGCTAGCTAGGGTGGAAGAGGCCTTTGGGGAAGACTTGAGTAAAGGAGGGATTTGGACCTGTGAGGGGCTGGGCAGGCCTTTGAGATGGAGACAGAAGGCAAGCCTCTAAAGTAGGAACAGACCCTGTGGATGGGTTTCTGTAGGGGTGAGGTCAGGCTGGGCATCCTGCTTCAAAATCTCTAGGAGCGGCTCATCAGAGGCTGGAGGAGTGGGCCCGGGGCAAAGGACAGCCACCAGGCAGGTAGCAGCGGGTGGCAGTGATAGGCGCGAAGCCTGAACTGTGAGGGCCTGTCCCACAGGCATATGGCCCCAGTTCCAGACCATTCAGGAGAAGGAGGTCACCATCCTGAACAGCAAGGCGTGTGACAAGGTATACCACAAGATCTCCAAAGTCCCCAAAATGGTTCGGATCGTGGACTCTAAGATGGTCTGCGCAGAGGACTTTGACAGGGAGCAGTTTTGCTACGTGAGCACCTCTCTCCTTGCCCTCTCACCTCCAGGGGCCCCGGCCAGGAGTGGTGTCGGGGTGCAGGGTGGCCAGGCTCAAAGGGGAGGGATGGGAGACCAGAGGGAAAGATGGGAGATGAAGGTTGGAGAGGAGGAAGAAGTGGGATGGAGAACCCCTCTGAGGGAGGTCTCCTGGGTCTGGACCTCTAGGGCACCTGTCAGCTATGTGACCCCCTGGGTGGGTGGGGTGGGGGCTGTGGGAGAGATGTGGTGTGAGGTCACTGTGTTTGTCCTAGAGCTGGGGCGTATCTCCCTCTGGCCACACCTAGCCCCCCGATCCTCTTTGTTCCCCACCTCTCCCCACAGGAGATAAGTGGTGAGCCCTTGACCTGTTCTGTGGACACCATGTGGTACCTGGTGGGCCTGGTGAGCTGGGGCCCTGGCTGCTCGAAGAGTGAGGCCCCGCCCATCTACCTGCAGGTCACCTCCTACCAGCGCTGGATCTGGGAACGTGTCAGTGGGCAGGACCTTCCCGCCCCATCCAGGGCCCTGCTCCTGGTGCTATCACTGCCCCTTGGCCTGCTCTCGGCCCTCTGACATCCTCATGGTGTCCCTGGGGTTGCTGTCCTCACCCTCTGTGCCCAGGATCCTGCAGGTGTTGCTCCTGGCCCCACAGGGCAGGGCAGATGTGAAGTGCTTCATTAAAAGCTTCTCTTCCCCAGCTGCTTCCTTCCTGGGCCTGCTTGAGCTGGAGGTGAGCCAGATGGGGGTTGAAGGGGGGAATCCAGATCATCTCTACTGGAAAGTGCAGAGCCTCCAGTCCACTTCCACCTGCAGTTGGAGGGAGTGTATAGGGATGATCCTGGGGTCTAGAACGTAGCATCCAGGCTGAAGCTGAGCTGCTAGGACAGTGAGGCCAGGGAGGTGAGTGTGTTTTCTGTGATACTTTAGTGGGAATCAGGCTCTCCTCCATGTTGGTCTGTCCCCTGGCCAGGAGCTGGAACCACCCTGTCATTGCCCCGAAGCACTGTAGTGAACTTTGACCTTCCCCCCTGCCTAGAGCCTGGGGCAGGTGCCCACTGGGATCAGACATCATCCATCAGCAGCGGAGCCTGTCCCTAAAAGACTAGTAGAGGCCACAGGTCAGAGGCCAGTGAGCAGCTGGCAGGGCAGATGCAGCCCAGGCCGAGACTCCCCCCAGGCTTTACCAGCTGCTTCTTGGTGTGACTTCCAGTGGCCTCTGCCCCTCTGGGCTTCTGCTGCCAGAGCCACACAGGAGGGCTCCGGCCTGTATGGGTAGTGTGACTTTTGCCACGACCTGAACTTTCTGCACAAGAAGCCCATAGGCTGGACTGTGAGGGCTGAGTCAGGGCTCCTTCCTGGCGGTGTGAGCACTCAGAGCCCACAGCAGGGCTTCTGCAATTTCTCTGGCCCCTCACCTGCTCCATGGCCAATGTCTGCCTGGATCCCTCTCTTTGTAGAATAGTGATCCAGCTCCAGGTCGGGATCCAGATTTGACTCCTCTTGAGTCCTCAGCAGTGGGCTCAGACCATGGAAGGCAAAGTGGCGTGGTGGGGCCAGGAGTGGAGAGAGGTTGGCTTCCTTCCCAGTCTCCACACCCAAGCTGGCTGCAGCTGCCCCTCTGCCTCTTGGCCACCACCTCTCCCTCTGGCTCATCCTAATTCAGGCTGGGAGAAAAGTCAGAATTGGGGGGAGCTGCAGCTTGGCCTGTGCCACCTCTCACTGCTGTGTCACCCTCCACATGTATGATCTGGGGACAGGGCATCCTGCAGGGTTATCTCAGGTCACTCAGGTAGGAGAAGGCACTCAGCTTTATTTACAAATCTCTGCAGGCTGCCAAGGCAGAGGCAGCGTGAGATTTTCCAGCAGCTCCCCCCACCCCCACCCGGGCTCAGGAAACTCTGGTGTCTCCTTAGTTTCCAGGCCCAGATTCTGAGCACTATCTGGAAATCCCTCTGCATGGCCCCTCCCCGAAGATTCAGTCTTTGGGTGGTGGTTGGGCCTGTACCCTCTGGTCAGTAGTGATTCTCTGAGGCGCTGTAGTTGAGACAGTAGAAGAGGAAGCTGTGTGCTGTTCTGCTCAACAGGTGGAAGGCTGGTTGCTGCCTCAGCCCCTGACTGCCCTCTGAGGTGGTCTCCTAGGGCCCCGAAAACCCCCACCACCTCAAAGGGACCTCTGGCACAGATCAGCGCTTCCCTTGGCTTCTTCAGGATTCCCTGGTCCCCCAAGATGGGGCCCAGCTACCAGCCTTCTTCCCTTCTCCCTTTGGCCCGTTGGCCTCAGCCTTCTGCATCCCTGACTGACCCCCTACAGCCCCAGCCCTGAACCCCCAGGCCTCACGCTCTGCCTACAGGCAACCTCAGCTCCAGTGCAGTGCAGCTGCCCATGGTACATGGGCACATGGTATCTGCTGGGCTGAAGTTCTCCTGTCTCCGGGCAGCTCTATTCACTGCCCCGGCCAGGACCCCTGCTGGGCCTGGAGTGGTTCCCTGGCCACTAGGGCTGCTATCTAGAGAAGTCTGAGAGCCTCGTGCTGCCACAGCTTCCCCTAGCCACAGCTTCCTCGCGGCCAGCCCGGGTGTGGCCTCACACTCTAGCCCATCCAGTTCAGCCATCTCCTCCCAAGAGAGCCCACTTCCCATCACCCCCGTAGAGCCACTGCTGTTCCCGGCAGAAGGGACAGAGGCGTGCGTCTGGGTGGATGTGAAGCCACTCTGGATCTGCAGGGGGGAGCAGTGGCCCAAGACGACCTTTGCTGAGCGGCCATGTGGCTGAGGTGAAAGGAGCGGAGTCCAGGCTGGAAGGCAGGACACCAGGTGCAGTCCTGTCCCTGCCCCTGATGGGCCATAGGGATGGGGCTGCAGCAGCCTCCTCGGAGCCAAGAAGAGGGTGTTCTGTAACCTCTGTGGTCCATGGATGACCTTGGAGTCCAAGATGCCTGGACCCCTACCAGGACTTGAGCACCAGGGCCAGCCAGCTCCAGTTGCCACCTCTAGGAAGCCCTCCTCATTTCTCCCCTTTCTTCTTCTTGGCCTCATTCTTCTCATCCTCCTCTACCTTGATGGCCACTGTGTCCACACTGTCCTTCTTTTTCTTCTTTTTATCCTCTGTAGGGTAAAGGAGAGGTGGGTAGTAGGGGTGAGGCAGGGTCCTAGGGCCCAGATCAGATCCTCCCGCCTCCAGCCCTTTGCTCCTTCCTTCCAAGCCTCTCCTACCTGCAGAAGAGCTCCTTGCATTACCTGCCTCATGCTGGGGCCCATTTCTGGGCTCTGGTCTCCAGGGACAGGGCTGACTCCCCGTCCTGAATCTAATGCAGGCAGAGGGGAGGCGCAGGGCCACCCTTGGTCAGTGGAACTGAGGAGCTAACTGGCTGGCCCAACTGAGACAGGTGGTGGCAGGGGGTGCGAGGGGTGCTGGGGCTCCTGGTTCACTCACCTCCGGGGATCTCTGTGAGCTCATTGAGGGGTGGCACCGTCTCCAGCTTGTCCGTGTACATCTTGGCGGCCTTCCGCTGCAGGTACCGGGCTTCAATCTCCTTCCGGGTCCGTGGCACGCGGCAGTTGAAGACACAGCACAGGGTGATAACTGTAGGGGGGTTGGGGTGGGCTTGGCCAAGGCTGGAGCTCAGACACCCACCCCAGGGATGAGACCCAGATCTCGGACCTGTCCTCACCTACCCACGGATGCCTCACCCAGGAGATGCTGGCTGAAGGCTCAAGACCCCTGTGGGCTCTGGGGTTTCCGAGCCCTCTCTCCTGAGCCGGGCCAACCTCAGGCAGTCGCACCAGGGGCCACTCTCAGAAGGGCCTTGCACTTGGCTTAATGCTCTGCTGTCACTGTTCCTAACGGTTTCTGACCAAGGGGTCTCACACTTTCATTTTGCACAGGCCACCAGGTCATGTCATTGGTCTGGCTTTCTGGCTAGACCGAGGCCCCTGGAGGGCAGGGCAGAGGCCTGCATGGTGACGGTGGCAGTGACAGTGACTCAAGCTCCAGCTGCCCCAAGGCTGTCCTGTGTTCCCACCCAGGGCTCCTGGAGCTCCCTCCTTCTTCCTCCCCAAGCTCCTGAGAGGAGCTCAGACAGTGGAGGACATGCCAGTGTCCTCCTCATCCTCCCTGAGGACAAGCCTGGGCTTCTCCTGGCTGCGAGAGCCCACCAGCGGGCACAGACCCTGCCCTGGGGCGTTCACCTCAGACAGTTATTCCAGGGCGGTTTTCCGGCTGAGGGCAGCTGTGCCCACGCGAGCTGGGCCAGAGAACGGAGCTGCCCTGTCTAGTGTCAGGCAGGGTAGGACAGGGCTGCCAGGACCCGGCTGGACTGAGTTTATTTTTCTAAGGCCCCACAGTCTGACCACCTTGGCCCCGGCCTCAGGGGAGGGGACGGGGCTGCTTCCTATTATAAATCAGATGACAAGACATAACTTCCTGGCAGACTTCTGGGGGCATGAGGGCCAAACAGGACAAGCCAGGCCTATTTTAGGGAAGATGGATCAGGCCAGTGTAGCCAGGGCTGGAGCACTCTTTGGGGTCAGTTTGTGTAACCCCTTCAGCCAAATCTTGTGGCCCCACTAAGTCTTGCCCAGATTCACAGAATGAAAAAAAAAAAAAAAAGAAAGAAAGTATGAATGCATGAATGCATAAGACAATCTCAAAGCCTTTGCTCCTGAGGATGGAACGGGACTCCCCAAGGGATGGGTGGGGGTGGCTGACAGCATCCAGGACCTCTGGGGGGCTGCACGAGACCTCAGCGGTAGGTCTGACTCTGCACTGCTGTGAGGGGTAAATGACGAGCTGTTCTTCTTCGAAGAGCCAGGTTCTGGCCTCCTCAGGCCCCTGTGTGTACGTCTGTGGCCCCGACCCTGCTGGCTTGGGCCACCTCTCCCAGCCACCCGCCAGGCACGTCCTCGCGCTGTGCTTACTCAGGCTCTCCACAAAGGCTGGTCCCAGGCACTGCGAGGCCGAGGCCGGCGGGGCTTCGAAGGGAGCTCAGCTATTGGCACCTAGGAGCAGGGTTCAGACACCACCCCTCACCCCAGGCCTGCCCCACCCAGCCTGGCTGGTCACTTCTCTTCAAAGAAGGAAGAAAAAACAAAAACAAAAACGATGTGTCTTGGATGGAGTTCCAGGGCCCGGACAGGGAGCTAGAATGTGAGTCCCCAGGCTGGAGGGACCTCTAGAGGCACCCCCATCCAACCCCCAGCCCCTCCACACAAGGTCTTGGGGTGATACGCCACTGACAGTGGCACCACCTTGGCCCAAGCACACTGGGAAGCAGGAAAGAGGCTTCCTCCCCAGCACGTGGGGCTGTGATGTCCCCACTCCCTAGGGCTCTGCACGGAAGGCAGCGAGTGGTGACCAGCTGCGCAGAGGGCTTTGGGACTTTCAGTCTTTACTAGGGAATCGAATTGAGGAGTGCGAGCCGGTCTTTTTCTTCATGTTCAAACTCCTCTTTGGGTCCAAGCTAACTTTGTGTGGCCCTGGGCACCTTCACCATCCGGGGCTGAGCAGAGCCTGCAGAGGCCATTCTGTGTTTAGAGGCCCTTCAGTGCCCTCACTCCTGCTCCCTGGAGTTCCCCAGAGAGGCTTCCTGGCCCTGCACCCTACTCTGTTCCTTATAGGCAGATGCTTCCCTGAACCCTGCCTTTTGGTGACGGGATGGGAGGTGGGGGGGGCATGGTTTCCTCTCTGGACACCTGGAGTGGGGCGGCAGGCACGACCAGCTGGCTGTAGGGCCTCCACTGAGAAGCCTGATGGGTTCTTGTCCTGGCTAGGAATGAAATGCAGCCTCTTGCTCAGATCCTGCTCCTACCCCAGCCATGATGATACGGTGATGGTGGGATGTGCATATTTTCCCACAACAAGGGCCTTTCTGGTGCCAGGAGAAGCACATGTAAATCAGATGTCCTTGTCTCCCTTGGAGTCCTTACATCTGGGTGGGCCCTCTGCTGGGGCACTGCCCTCCAGGGGACCTCATCCTGGGACAGCTCCAGCTAGCACTTAAATGCCATTTTGGCTCCCCTGACCTGGGATGCACTCCGTGAGAGTCCTGTAGGGGTTCCTGGAGACCTTGCGTGGAAGCCGTTTCCTCCCACCTCTGCCTACACCACCCACTCTGCCTGGAATGCTTCTCCAGCTGCCTACCTGGCAAAACTGCACAAGACCTCCCGAAAGCTGCAGCTAAGAGGACCCTTACCTCTGTGAAGTCTGTGCAGGGGAGTGGGTTTTCTTTGCTGCCTTGCCTGCCTCTGCCCCCATCCTTTGGTGGGTGAGAGCTTTCACCAGACTCTACGTTGTACCCTGGCGGCCTCCTCCATCCACCGGCATCTCTCTGCCCCCTTTCCCCAACTCCCTTACTCTGGAAGGGCTGAAGGGAGCACGCCAGGCCCATTTCTGTTGTGAGTTTGCATCAAGCAACACCCAGTCCCAGGAGAGGAAGGGGGCTCCTGCTTTTAATCGAGGTGGGTGTGAGTCATTCCAGGGGAACGGGATTTGACAAGGCACAGTTTGCAGCCTGGGAGCCACATCTGCCGGGCGTCTGGGGAGCCTCTGCGCTGAGCTGTGGCCAAGGATGGCCTTGCTGGGGCCTCTGGGTGTGGGCCCTTTAAGCTGGCCAAGCTGCAGGAAAAGCATCAGGAGGCCAGCGATAGGGAAAAATGACACGTCCTCATCCTGGTTCAGTGGAGTCCCCTGTAATTACCGTAATTGCCATGTGGCTGTGTCCCAGTTGGGCTGAATACTTCAGGTCACCACCAGCCTGTCAGCCCTCCACAGGGACTTTGTGTAGATCAGGAGGTGCCAGAAACCACAGCGGGCCTCCTGCGGGCGACTGGCCTGCTTGCAATGCCCGGAATTGCTGTTCTGAGCCCCTGGGGGTAGTTTGGGGGGGTAAGGGGGTGGTGCAGGGTGTTGCTGTGCTCCTGCCGGGTGTCGGGGGAGGGAAGGGAGCAGCTACTCACTGATGGACAGCACGAAGAGCGAGAAGATGCCCACCACGTGCCAGAGGCGCATGTCCCAGAACACCACCGTCTCCTTGGTCAGCGGGGGCGGCTTGGGCTTGGGCGGGGCCGTGCTGGGCTGCAGGTTGGGAGAGAGGGAAGTGAGCCAGGCAGCAGCCAGGAGCTGGGGCTGGGCAGAGAGAGGCCCAGGTTTGAGGGAGGACTCAGCCCAAGTGTTCCAGAATCTCCTAGAATCAAGTGTCGTAGACATTCACGGCCACCGCCCTGGACCTTGGCAAGTTCCAATTTAGAGCCACAAGAAGAAAGCAGAGCCCCAGAAACATGGAGCCAGGGACCTGGGGTACAAGGGTGCCTGGGGATAGTTGGGGACACCAAGACCTGGAGGGCCAAAGGTAGATGGCTTGTCCCACTCAGGTTCAAGTCCCTGCTGGGCAGCCTGCTCGTCTCTCCTCATCTTCCAGTCCTGGGCCCCACAGGCAGATGGGGTCTCAGGACCAAGGCCAGAGACAAGGCGACGCCTGTGCTGTCCTGGGGACTTTGCTCCCAAGCATCCTCCGTGTGTGTGGGGTGTGCGTGTGGAGCCGGACTCAGGGCCCGTGGCTCTGCTGCCTGGCCAGGACTCGCACCCGGTGACCTCAACTGTTGCCCATCCTGCCAGAGTCACCTCTTCTGACCAGAGGCTAGGCCAGAGTCCTCCCAGGACAGGCCTGGGTAATTAGTCTGCAATGAGACAGCGGCACCTAGAGGCCAAAAGTTATACGCACAGCCTGCCACCTCCCACCCCGGCAGGGAGATGCCACCTAGCCCTGGGAGTCTAGTGTAAATGGGCCTGGTGGGTCTGCGCAGGACCCGTCCCTAACCTGACGGGCTGAGAAGGACATGACCCTATCTCTGTCACCAAGTTTGGCTGAGGGATGCGGTGGGGGAGGTTAGCTCTCAGAGGGAGAGAGGACCCCGGGGCATCCGTGGAATTGACTGTCTTCTGATTAACCGAATAAGGACAGACCTGGAGTCTCTTCTGCTCTCTGGGAAAGAAAGGCAAGGCACAGCTCAACCACCTACCCAGTCTTTCTCCTGATCCACGAGCATGGGTTGGGCACCTACCACAAGTCAGGGGCTTCCTCATCGAAAGGACACCGCCCTGCAGCATGTGTTGGGGACACTCAGAGAGGACCAGCAACCCGTCCCAGGTAATCTGTGCGCTTGGGATTCGAACACGATTCCCCGGGTATTTTCTCTTAACCAGGGTAAACTGGGATGGGTGACTTCTTTCTTCTAGGTCTCAGTGTCTCCATCTGTAACCTGAGTGGGGTGGTGCCAGGGCTTTCTGGGAAGCTCTCTCTACCCAATCAGAGTGGGAAAATTGAGGAGATACCCCTCCTCAGCATCATCCCAGGGGCCTGACACATGCCCCTTGATAGGGTCAGACACATGTATGTGGGGTCGAGGAACATGTGTGTGGGGTCAGGCACATCTGTGGGTTTGGGGCACATGTGTGGGGGGTTGGGACACCTGTAGGGCTGGGCACATATTTGTGAGTACAGAGCACACTTGTGATTGGAGTACGTGTGTGGTCAGACCTAAGTCTGCAGAGTCAGGACCAGGGTCTGGGCAGTGGTGGGGCCCCCGATCCTAAGGCTCAGGATGTTTGGTCCGGCTGGGCTGTATGGCTGGAAGACTCTGAGGTCTCAGATTCTGAGCCTGGGCAGCTGAGAGCCCACTTCTGACACCTTCTTGTTCTAGCCCTGTTCTGAATGGAACTGATCTTACAATCTCACCCTGATAGGGATCTTGGATAGAGGGTAACAGTTAACAGTGGGGCATCTCTGTGGTCAGCAGTGCTGGGGGTCTGAACTCCAAAGCTCGGGAGCCCCAGCCTCTCAGATGGAGAAATGATGCCGGCTGCGGTGGGTGGTGCTGTGGACTCCAGCCCTTCCCTCTCTTTCTGGTGCTTCCCTGGATCCCCTGGGCTCAGCCAGGCCCTTGCTCAGGCTGTAGGCAAATGGCAGGCAGATGGGCTCCAAATGCAATTTCCCTCGATAAGCAAGGAGATGTTCTCCTGGGGGCTGAGGAGAAGAGTCCTTGGCTCAGAACTGACATGACCCCCACCCTCAGCCTTCTTTCGCACCCAGACCAGCTCAATTTCTACACCTGAGGCCTTGGGGCAGCCAATGGACCCCAGGTACACTCCATGGGGTTCCAGCCAGCCTGGCTCCCCTTACAGGGCCACTGGAGCTGACATCTGACTCCCGCCCAGCCTTGTGATCACACCCCCTGGTCAGCAGCAGGGACAGGCTAGTATTGGGGTTCAGGGTTCTGTCTTCGTGTCCCTTGGACCCTCAGGTTCAGGGCTGTGTCCTCCGAGATCCTCAAGATAAGGCTCTGTCCTCCCTCTCCCGACCTGTTCCCTGGCACCTGTCTCCAAGGGCCTAGCTGTCTATTGTTCTTCTGTCTCTCTGCCCTCTTCTCTCTGCTCCTGCCTGCACAGGTCTCACCCCCCACCCCCCACTCCTCCCTGGCCCTGCCTTTTGGGCCTTCTCCCTCTGGCCTCATGCTCCAGATCTGGTCCGCCCCTTGGGGTCCCCTTTGCGGCTCAGCAGGAATGAGTTATGGAGGGCCAGGGAGGCTGCAATGGCCTCCACTCTTCCCCTCACAGCCCTTTCTGGCCCTAGCCAAGCCCCTGGTCGACCACCCCAGCCACCCTCCTCACCTCTCTTGATGGGCTATCTGAGCAGCACCCCCAGCTCCCCCAGTTACGTGCCCTCTTCCAATTTATCCTCCTCCTTCCACCCCAGGACTCGTCCACAACTCTCCCCTTGCTCAGAGACCTTTGCTGGCTCTCCATCATCACCAAGGCCAAGGAAGACCCCCAAGTCCCCGGGGTCTGCCCTGCCCACACCTCCCCTCCAGGGCCAAGTGCTTCTTCGGGGAGTTGAACTCAACCCACGGCTGCTCTATAAAGGGTCTCATCTTCCTGCCCCGACCCTCCAGATTCCCAAGGCTCCGTCTCCCCCATTAGGCAGGGGACCCCGCAGGATCTCTGGCAGCAGAAGCTTTTTCCTCCAGCGGACCCTGATACCAGGGACTAGATGTCCCCCATCAGACTAGAGGTCACTGACACCAAGGACTATGCCTTCCCGCCCCCTCCCTCGCTCCCCCCATTAGACCTAAGGCAAGACGGCAAAGCTGTACCCCCAGTCGGACTGGGAATCCTTGGGGTCAGGGTGAGTCTCCCAGAATCCATGTCCCTGAAATCAGGGGCAGTGCCCTCCGGTCAGACCAGGGACCCTGAGATTGGGGTCCGCACAGCCGGGAGCGCTCAACCGCCAGCCCCGGGTCGAAGGGCGCCCCCCAAGCCCCGGCCCCCCCGCCCCGCCCCGCCCGCCCCGCCCCGCCCGCCTCACCTCCACCAGCTGCGCGGCGACCCCCGCGAGGCAGAGCCCCAGCGCCGCGCCGCCCAGCGCCCAGGGGGGCCCCGCGCCCCGCCGCAGCCCAGCCATCTTCGCGGCCGCAGGTGGGGGCCCGCCGAGCGCCGGGCGCGGCTGCCGGCTGCCGGGGTGACTGCCCGGAGAGCCGCGCAGGCCGCCAGGGGCATCACTTATTCATCGTCGGTGTCTGGTTCCCGGCCGCCCCCACCTCCCGGGGAGTCCGATCGCCCTCCCTAACGCGACCCGGGGGTGGGGGGTGGGGCCGAGGGGTGGGAGCCGGGGCGGGGAGGAGGGAGGACCCGCAGGGGGCAGGTCCCCGAACAGCCGGTTCCCACCTTCCCGGGCCCCACTCGGGCCTCAGTTTCTCCATCTGGGGCAAGGGGAGGGGCTAGGATCTGCTGATCTAGGAGGCCCTTCCCAGTCTGACGTTCTGAATTTGAAAAACCCTACTGGACCCGGGCTGGTGGTGGTGGAGGAGGGGTGGAGGTGGGGGGAGGGGGGTTGGCAGGCAGGTCGTCATAGTGACAGGCGCTCAGGGATGTCCTGGGCTTTCTGGGCTGGCTTCCTGCCCAGAAACGGCTCTGGTCACTCTGGACACCAGAGCTAGAGGGGGGGATGGGGACCAGGGGTTGGTATGGCCAGTCTCTAATTGCGGGTGCTATGGAAGGTTCCTGAAAAAGCCAGCATCTGCTGCCCCGTGGGACCGGGAAGTCTCCACCTGGAAGGGCGGGAGGACCATTTTCTGACTCTGGCTCTGAGCCTCTGCCCTAGTCTGAGCCCCAATTTTTACTCCAGTCTGAGTTTGACCTCATACAGAGCCTGGCCCACATGTACTCTGATCCTCACTCCAGGAGGAGCGTTGATAACCCAGGGATGGAGGGAGGGTGTACCTGAGGAGCTGTGGAGACTAGGAGGGCTTTGGAGGAGGAAGAGGAGGAGGAGGAGGGAGATCTGGGGTGGGGAGACTCCTCTGGTCCATCCTTCCTCCTCCCTTTTCCTCCCTCCCTTCCTTCCTTCCATTGTTATTTATCTCCTGCCTGCTGAGTGCTGGAGAAGCAAGCAGCCCAGGTGTTGGAGCCCTGCATTCTTCATCACTAGGGACACCAGTGGAGCAGACCGAGGGGCTTTGGGCATTGGGCCCACCCTCAGAACCAGGGATCCTGTAGATTCAGAGCCTGGGGCTGGAGGGGATGGGCAAGGACCAGGGTGAGCCACAGCAGAGAGCAGAGGGCCAGCTGTGGACACCCACAGGTGACAGGGCTGGGCGATCACAAGGCAGGCAGAAAAACAGGAGAGCCACTGGTGAAGGACAGCTGGGCCAAGGGATCCTCAACAGTGGGTGGTAAAGTCTGGGGGCTGGGTGAACACGGTCATCCCATCCTCCCCAGGCCTGTCCTAGCCAGGCAAACAGGAATTCTACTAGAGCTCAAGTCACTTGGCTGAAGTTCCCACTTCCTCATGCCATCTGTTGTAGGCCAGGCTAAGGAAAGCCTCACTGACCAGCCAGGGAGAGCACCCTTGGGACACAGGGTCAGAGAGGCCTTGGCTGGACCGGGCTGAGGTTAGCGGGCCTGACCGTGGCCTTGGGCAAGCCATTACACCTGTCTGCTTTGAATTCCTCATCTATGGAATGGAGAGAGCAAGACTCTCATCAAGGGGGGTTGGGAGGGTGATATTAAACTAAGGTTTATGGGAATGCTGAGCACATGCTGACTTTCCCTGAGAGGGAAATCATGCAGTGGCCAGCCTCCTTGCGCTTCTCTGCAGGCTCTTGGACATAGTTGAGATCTTGCTGCATGCTATTTATCCTATACCTTTTTTTTTTTTTAAAGATTGTATTTATTCACGAGAGACACAGAGAGAGAGAGAGGCAGAGACATAGGCAGAGGGAAAAACAGGCTCCCCATGGGGAACCCGATGCAAGACTCGATCCCAGGACCCTAGGATCACGACCTGAGCCAAAGGCAGACACTCAACCACTAAGCTACCCAAGTGCCCCCATCCTATACTTTTTCACCCAGAGCTTTTACCCAGCACCAGAATCCCAGATCCCCACGTGCCCCAAATGCCCTGTCAAATACTGTTAGACAGGCTTTGAAGTCAAACTGACTTAAAAGTAAAAGAACAGGCTGTCCTGAAACAGGACAGTTTCAAGCACTTATAACCTCAGAAGTATAAAGCTACAGATTTGCAAGAAATGCAATTTGGGAGCTTACTTAAATTTCCTTTTTTGCCTTTTGTAAAGCTGGCAAAAGTTGCCTGGCAAGATTGAGGTTATTATCCAAAATTCACAAAACTAAGTGAGCATGAAGAAACTTTAAGTATGAAACTTTTGTATTATGTTTCTTATAGATTTGTGGCCTTTATACTCTGTAGTTTCTGAAGTTATTAAAGCTTAAAACAAAGTCTTCTGGGGCATGAACATACTGACATCTGTGAGACCTCGGTGGGCTTCAATTCCTCATCTGGAAAGTGGTTATAACTACAGTATCATGGCACCTGCGCATCACAAGCCTTCAGAAAATGCTAGTTGTTATGACTGTTGTGGCCATTGTGGGGAGACGCAGTGTGATATTATGCTGTATTAAAAACCAGTAGCACTTCATTCAATGCCTTATTGTTCAAACATTTACATTTTCCAAATTCTCCAAAGTGTGAGACACCATGGGGAGAGAAACACCCTGAAAGCTGATGCCTTCTCCATCTTTGAAGGCTCTTCTTCCTCCCCTCTGTGCACTTATGGGGAACTGAGGACCAGAAAGGGCTTGTGCCTTGTGTAAGATCACACAGGAACGGAGTGACCCTCAGACTCAGCGTGTGGCCCCCAAGCCAGGGTTCTGCCCCCTGTCCAGTAATATCTCTATTTCTTATGAAGTGCCAGATCCCCCTGCACATTACTACCAGTAGAGCCCATCAAATTTGGAGGGGGGGCAGAGCTCTAGACCCTCGGACCAGACTCCCCTGGAAGACAGTGTCCCCTCCATGCATGGTGGCCTGAATGCTAGCCAGTGAAACCCTATTTGTCCTTTCCTTTGTGTGCTATTGTTAGCTCTTGTGGGTTTCCTGTAGGGACCTAGTCCAGTTTCCTGGGCCTCTGGGTTGGAAGCCCTGGGCAGAGTCGATTGATAGTGGCCAGGGACACCTGTGGACAGTTCACTCCTGGAGCCAGAAATCCCAGGGCTCAAGGCACAGCTCTGGGGTGGCAGAGCGTGGGGAGTGAGTATCCTTCCAGTCCCAGGTAGGCCGGATCCGGGACATCTTGGACTTAGCTTGGGCTGAAAGGGGGGGGTGCTGGGCTGCCTTAGGCCTGGGACACAGTGCCTGGGGCCTGCTGGGAGCTGGTCATCTCTGACCTTGTTGGCCCCAGGCCTGGCCCAGAATAGCTCTGGGGCTGGGCCGGGCCTGGTGAGACCTGCATGTACATAAGCATGTGCTTGTGTCCCAGAGCACTGATATACACAGGAGACAGGAGTGTGTGTGCACTCTGCACTTGCCTCTCTGTGTGTCTGAGTGTGAATCTTAGTGTGTGTTCTGTGGTGCAGTACGTAAGTCTGTGTCCGTGTGGGTGTGCACAAGGCTGCCTCCTGAAATGTGCTACATGGGAGACCCACCCCTGTGTTCCATCGTAGATAGGTCTGTGTGGCACATGGAAGTCTACACACCACACATTCTTGTGGCTGTGGAATCGTGTATGTGTGCAGGGGATGTGGGAATGGTGTGGGTGGGTGTGTGCATATCTGTGGTGGGATTGGACAGGGGCCCTTGGCTATGTTGCAGGGGACCAAGGGCAGGTGGACCCAGTGGGGGCTGACCTTTGGGCACTGCTGGGGGCACCACAGATTACTTGGCCTTATCCGAGAGAGAAGGAGGGAGAGAGGCTCGGCAGTTTTTGCCCCATTTGGCAGATGATAAAACTCAGCCTGGCAATACTGGGGTGGACACCCAGCCGGGGGGGGCAGTAGTTAAGGGAAGACCAGCCCCCAGCTTTCCAATTCCCTTAGATGTGAACAGGAAGTCTGGGCCCTGGGGAGGAAGCCGAGGGGGGCTGTTCCTTCCTCTTCCAGCCCAGGCAGCACTGTTCTCCCTCAGCTATAGGTACAGACGAGGACACTGAGACCCAAAGAGATGAAGGGCTGGTCCAGAGAAGCCAAACACAAATTCAGCTTCCTCCTGCTCAGGGATTCTGTCCTGCCTGACTTGCTTATCACACGTGATAAGAACACACACTCCTGGACAACCTTGCTCTCTCTACATGTGGCCATGGTCCCTCTTCAGCCCTTGACCCTCCCTCCCAAGCCCCAGAAACCCCTTGCCTGACCACCCCCATGTGTGCCAGGGAGCCCACAGGCCCACTGAGACCCTGCTCATCTGGGAAGGAACACCCTGCACTGCCCTGTGCCCCCTCCACTGGGGATCTCTGGTCAGCTTGGCAGGATGGGGCATAACTCTCAAGCACTCAGACTTGAGTAGGGGGTTGCTGGGGTACCCTTTCTGCTCTTCCACTGCCTGTACGTGGCCCTGAAACCCGTGTACCACGGGAAGTGTCGGGGGAGGGGGTGCTGGTGTGACCACTGGAGGGGGACCAGGCAGCAGACAGCGGGCTCCTTTGTTACAGGCTGAATCATCGTCCTCCCTCTCCTGGGATTAGGCTTCCACCACCCTTTCCAAGGTCGCAGGGCCCGGAACACACAAGTGCTGGCTTCTCACCCTACTGGGCCATGTTGAGACCCAGGCGTGGGGGCAGGGGGGAATTCCCCAAGGTCACACAGAAAGGAGTGGTGGCTGGCCACACACACCTGGCCCAAGGGGCCACTGGGCAGCCTCGGTTGATCCCACTCCTGACTTCAAGCTTCTGGAGCTCTTGGCTCATGCTCGCCCGCTGTGATTAGGAAGGATGGTGGAGGGGATCCCTGGGTGGCTCAGCGGTTCAGCGCCTGCCTTTGGCCCAGGGCATGATCCCGGAGACCCAGGATGGAGTCCTGCATCAAGCTCCTGGCATGGAGCCTGCTTCTCCCTCTGCCTGTGTCTCTGCCTTTCTCTCTCTCTCTCTCTCTCATGAATAAATAAATAAATAAATAAACAAACAAACAAATAAATAAATAATCTTTAAAAAAATAAAAAGGTGCAGCACCCAGGCCCCAGCGCCTCAGAATAGGGGCGAGTGCCCCGGGAAGGCCCCGCCAGGATCCCGGACACTGCCTCCTGGGAGCCTTTCCCGGGGAAGCCAGGTTAGCCCGGGTCTGGGTGAGGGAGCGAGTGTGTGTGTGTGTGTGTGTGTGTGTGGGTGGGTGTTTCGGGGGGCGGAGGAGTCAGTCCCTCTCCTCTGACTCCCGCTGGGTTCAGGGTCCTTCGGACCCGGGAGGACTCTAGGGAAAGGCCTCAGGAGTAGACCTCTGGCGGGGAGGACCGACGCCGCGTCCCACCTCCTGCCAGGAGGGTCCGTGGGCGCCTGCCCCCACTTCCACCTGCAGCTCCCGGAGGCGGGGCGGGGCGAGCGGGGGCGTGTCCGGGGGCGTGGCCGGGGCGTGTCTAGGGGCGTGGCTGCGCCGGGGGCGTGGCGGGTGGCGGGCGGCGGGGGGGCGGCGGGGGGGCGGACCGCGGGGAGCGGGCGGCCGCGGCGACAGTCCCCGCTCGGGGCACCGGCGCCGCACAGGTACGGGCGGGGCGGAGGTCGCGCGTCTGTGGGCGGGCTCCTGTGCTCCGCGCGCCCCTCACTCCAGGTAGGACCTTCGCCTAGCGCCCCCTTGGGCGGGCGCGTCGCCGTCCCTCCGCGACTCCCCCAGACCGGGGCCGTCCGAGTTCGCGCCCGCGGCCTTCAGCCTCGTCTTCCCTGCCCCGTGGTCGCGCGGCTCGAGCTGAGGGGCAGCGCAGGGATCGCACCCCCACCCCGCCCCCCAGGGTTCGTGTAGGGCACGAGCGCCGTGCCCAGGGACTGGGCCAGGGCTAGGGTGCGAGGGGCTGCCTGGGAGGCTGCCAGGAGGAGGTGACGCCTGCAGCGAGACCGGCACGGGCCAACGCCTGGTGGCTGGAACAGGATCCCATGTTTGGGAAACTCGGGACTGCGTGTGCCGGGGCAGGGAGGGGCAGGGAGCTGTGAGACACCGGAGGGGGGCGTCTAGGACAAGAAGCTTAGAGCCTGGGGGGCCGGAGAAGGGGTGCCAGGGGAGAGGCCATAGTGCAGACTGAGCCGTCCGCAGTGACAGTCGGGCGCCCCCTCCCTTGGGCAGCCCTTCTCTGCTCTACCACTGCACTTGCTGGTTGTTTCAGAGGACTCCACAGCAAGCAAAACTTCCTTGCCTGTCCAGACCAGGAAATACCAGAGTGGGTGCCATGATAGGGTGTGGCCCAGGGGCCTGAGGGGCCGAGGGGCCCGAGGGGCCAGGCCCTGGGGGGGGCAGGGGAGGCCTCAATGGCCCTGCTGCCTGAGAGCCACCTGGCATGCACAGGCCAGGAATGCAGGGGAGAGAGCAGGTCTGGCTGCTGGTTAGATCAACACGGGGACAGGCAGCTGACTCACCTGGGCACGCCAGGACCTGTCAGTTCTGTCCTCACCCCACCCTGCAGGGAGCACCAAGGTTGCCTGAGGGAGGTAGGAGGCTGGGCCCTGCTGGGAACTTGCTGTGTGTCCCTGAGACAAGTCGCCCAGCCCTTCTGAACCACCTAGTTCTGGTGAGCTTGATAGGACAGGGAGCCAGAGGCCTGGGTCTGAGCCCGGCACATGCTCTACAAGTAGCGTCTGGGCCCTCCAGTTCCCTCCTGGGCCTCAGTTTCTCCATATGTACCTCATGTGCAGCCTACCACTGAGGAACCTTGCACCAGGGTGGAGGGCGAGGGTAAGGAGGCCATGCTCTTGACCAGAGCCGGATGGGTTGGGGTGTGACAGGGGTTCGAGTAGGGATGACTCCTGCTGGGTCCCTCCAGGTGTTATGGCTTAGCACTTCCCCCAACCCCCAAACACACTCATGCCTGGTCTGCTCCCTGCTCTCACACTCTTGGTTGCCTCCAGGATGAAGCCCCAAGTTCTTCACCCAAGGAACAGGGGCCCCTGGGCACCACCAGGCCAGATCCCCAACCATGCACCGTCTCATCAGCCATGTGGAACTTCTGGCCTTTCCTCTGGGCAATGTGCCTCCCGTCCCTGGGGGTAGACATCTCATTTGGGACCACGGATCTAGAAGGTTCCTAGAGTCGCGTCTGTTAGCAGCCTGGGTCTGTAAGACTCATCCTGAGGGTCCCAGGCTGCTTTGAACTGGGAGGGAGGCTGAGGACCAGGTCTCCACATCCAGAGCAGCTCCCCCCACCAGTTTATCCTTTCTAAGGAGGACTTACAGAGTCCTGTGGAGCAGCTGAGGTGCGGACCATGGGTGCAGGCAGGGGTGGGGTAGCTGCCAGCCCTGCGGGGGGAGAGACGGAGGAAGTCTGAAGTGGGGAGGGACAGAGCTCCATGTCCTAGGTGCCGTGTGACTGGGGTGGGCTCCAGGTCAGTGTGAGTGTGGGGGGTGCTTGGTATTCAGGACCTCCCGAATAGCCTCGAGCTATTGATGCTTGCCCTGTGACACTCGCCCTCACCTGGTTCCTAGTACACACCCCGTCCAGGCTGCACCCTCTTCCTCTACCTTCAGCCAGTGGCCTCACCTCTCAGTTCAGACCCCAATGGACTGGCTGCCAACTGAGGATGGAAAGATCATCCCCAAAGGGCCTTTCTGTTCCATCCATTTCTGGAGATAATGGGGAAGAGTCAGGTGGACCACATTTGCTGTACCCTCTGGCTCCTCGGCTGGGCTTCCCCGGTCTGCCCGAGTTCACCTGGAGCTAACTGCTTCGCTGTCCCATGTTGGGGGGGGGGGTACCGGTACTGCTGCAGGGACCCACAGAGAGCAGGCCACAGCTGGGTGTCTAGCTGCTTCCCTTTCCTGCCTGTCCCTCCCAAGGCCTCGCCCTCCTAAAGCAGCAGCAGGAAAGGTGGGGCAGGAATGCCTGGGCCTGGGCCCTTGGCCAGACCTCTGAGCACCCGCCCCACTGCCCCAGAGCCGGTTCCCTGGGAGTTGTAGACTTTGCCAGGGGCCTGGAATGACCTCTGATGCCATTGGGGCTGGGTTGGGAGGAATGAGACCCCTTGTTGTTTGCCTCTGTCGCCTGCCCATTCCAGCGGCTTCGATTATATCTCCCACCCTACCCAGGTCAGCTAACTGCAGAGCCTCAGAGTGTCAGAGCCAGGGACAGGCAGTCTGAGGCTCTAGGGCTAAGAGACCCTCTAACTCTCAGCCCTGAGACTGGGCCTGGGCCCTGTTCACAGGCCCCGAGTGCGGTGCCCTGGCCATGTGCAGCCCTGAGGAGGAGGCCCTGCTGCGGCTGGAGGAGGTCTTCTCGGCTACGCTCGCCCGCATCAACAGCCTTGTCCTCCAGCCCCTGCTCGAAACCAGTGAGTCTTGGCTCTGCAGGGGTGAGGGCCGGGGGGTGGGGGTGGACACAGGAACCATTCTGGGTATCGAGTCCTACCTTGTTAGACCTGGGGTGCAGCTTTCTCAGCCTCAGACGGGAGGGCTGACACTTGGTATTGGCATCTTCTGATGGGACTGGGGCTCTGCTTCCTTTTGGGGGCTGCTCCCTTCTCAGAGGCACCCCGAGGGGCCAGGCCATGACCCCCTAGCCTAGACCCAGCTGTACATAGAGTCAGAATCCCACCTCTTCCAGGGCACAGGCCTGATTCTTTGCCTGGATTCCCATCCTGCTCTCAGCCAGGACATGACAGGGTTTTTACTTCCAGTTTGGGGGTCTCACTTGTTTTTGTTTTTGTTTTTAATGTGTATTATTTTCCTTTTTATTTTTGTATGTTTTTTTATTGGAGTTCGATTTGCCAACATATCACCCAGTGCTCATCCTGTCGAGTGCCACCCTCAGTGCCTGTCCTCCGGTCACCCCATTCCCCTGCCCACCTCCCCTTCCACTACCCCTTGCTTGTTTCCCAAAGTTAGGTGTCTCTCATGGTTTGTCACCCTCTCTGATTTTTCCCACTCATTTTCTCCCCTTTCCCCTATAATCCCTCTCATGAATGAAGTGACCTTGGGGAGGCGTCTTCCATCTGGGGCTCTGTCTGTGCCAGGGGACCACGGGACTTAATGGATCCCATATCCCAGACCCACTCCTAGCTCATCAGTGCTGTCCTGGTGTCATAGGGGATGGGGGGACCTGTGCCCCCACTTCCTCCTCAAAGATGCTGTCCTACGCTCCAGCCCGCCCATCCCTTCTGAGCTCTAGGGGCCACATCGGTCTCCTCCCCTGTCCTGAGGACCCCGGCTGCAGCTCCAGGGCTGTGGGGCACCGCTCCCCTGGGTGGAGGAATGGCCCTGCCCCCCTCACATTGTGCTTGTACCCACCCCCCCCTTGCCCTAGCCCCAGAGCCCTCGGACCCCCGGGGCAGAGAGCACCTGCGGCTCTTGCAGCAGCTGCACCAGAGCTCCCAGCAGCTCTGGGAAGTGACAGAGGAGAGCCTACACTCGCTGCGGGAGAGGCTGTGCCATCAGGACTCCGTGGGTCTGGAATCCCTGCTGTTGCTGTGTGGTGCCGACCGTGTCCTGCAGGTCCACGTGGAGTAAGACAGCGAGGGTGCCTGGGGCTTGGCCTGGGCATCAGGGTGCCCACCACCAAGCACCAGGTTTCCACCTGGGTCAGGCATAGGCCAAGGTTTGGGTTTGGTAGGGGGTGGGGCTCACCCGGGGTTGGCCCCAGGGCCTTGGGCATTAGCTGGGCTCAGGCTCAGACACCGCAGACCTGAGCCTTGGGGCTTCCCAGTGAAGAAAGACTGAGTTAGAATTCTCTGGTTGGGGCAGGGTTCCAGCTATGCAGTGAATGGGATCTGGGGACCCCAGAGGGGCAGGGGCTTGGGTGTGAAGCTGTGGGCTGGGCCTGCAGGGAGTCCCCTGTGCTGCCTGCAGGTACATCGAGTCCTACACCAGGTGCCTGGTGGTACAGGTCTTTCAGAAGGCAGCAAAGAAGAAGAGGTGAGCCCAGGATGCTGCAGGGGCCCTCTGAGTGGGGCAGGGGTGTCCAGGGGGGGCAGGTCGGGGAAGTCCCATCCCCAGAGCAGTGAGTGTCATGGCCCATGACTCATCCTGAACACTCCTGATTCTAACAATTCTACACTGATCCACACCGGAAGGGAGGGAGGGAAGTCTGCTGGGGCTGTGAGCACAATCCAGATATCCCCTAGCCAGGCTGGACCCTGGGAAGGCAGAAGGAGTGCCGTCCTGTCGGGGTGGGTGGTTCTACTCAGCCACCCCTTCAAATGAGATGTTGCCATTGACCTTGCAATGGGGCAACTGCATTTATCCGATAGGAGAGTAGTTTGGGGTCTGGGACTGTCGCTGGGACGTGGGCGCAGTTAGCTGGGGTTGGGGGGGCGATGGTGGCGGGTTCAGGAATGGAGTAGGGGAGTGAAGGCGGTGTGTGGCCCTCCCTCTGCTCAGGGAATACTGGCGACGCCAGAGGAAGGCACTGTGGCAGCTCCTGTCGGGCGTGAGCTCAGAGGCCTCTGTGGGCACAGCGCTGGCCCAGGCCCTCTGCCAGCCGCTTGCCCATCACGTGCAGCAGTACGTGTTCCTCCTGCTGAGCCTCGGGGACACCATCGGGGAGGTAAGTAGCAGGGACTGTCAGGGGGCCGGGTGCTGCTCACGAGGCCTGTTGCTTGCAGGGAAGCCAAAGGAGGAGAGACACAGGGCCCTGGTTTGGGGGACACACTGATTTGGGAACTGTGGTTTGAGAAGGACCCGGCCATGCTTTGGGGATATGGCTGTGTTCTGGGGGCTTTGGAGGGGTGTGTCCTTGTCCTGGCCTGTCTGAGGTACATAGCTGTGCCCAAGTGGGGCCAGCAGAGACCCAAGAGCAGACGGAGAATCATATACGGGAGGAGAGGACACCTGGCCCAGGCCCAGTGGGGGGAGTCATCCAGTGGTCCTGTCTGGAAGCCCTTCATGCTGGCCTCTCCCCGAAGGAAGTCCTGGCAGGGAGAAAGGGACAAACTTCGGCTTAGATCCAGACCTTCTGAGCAGCTGGGGCCAGGCCAGCGCTGGGGCAGCAGTCTCAGTGTGTGGGAGGTTCTGACAAGCCCCCTTCCACCCCCATCCCCTGCTCACCAGCTTCTCTGTGTCCCTGCAGCATCACCCCACTCGGGAGCTGGTGGTACACGCAGCCACTGTCTTTGGGAGCCTACAGTCCTTCATGAGGCAGGCGCTGGACCAGGCCATGGCCACGCAGGCCCTCTGGCACACCCTGAGCAGCCGGCTGAGAGTGAGTTTGAGGTCTGGGGGGTGGTCAGGGAAGGAGTTCTCACCAGGCAGTGTGGCCTGTTGGGCTGTCCATGCCGCAGCTTCCCCACCTGGAAGTGGGAGTGGTGGCCGAAGCAGGTGGCTGTGAGGCCCACCTGTCTAGCTATCTCCATGCACTTGCTGAGCAGCCCAGGCCGTGAGCTGGTTCTAGGGAGGAGCAGTTGGAACTGACCCTCTGTCCTGGGATGCCACCAAACGACCATATCCTTGTGTCACTGCCCACTGTGTCATGCACTGTCCCTGCTGGGAGGAAAGCCCCTGTGCCCCGAGAGGGTAAGACAGGCCTGGGGCCCAGTATAGGGAATTAGGTGGACAGGAAAGGGGACAGAATCGCCAGTAAGAGGCAGGGACTGCAGAACTGTGGTGAGTGTTGTTGGGCGGCTTGGCAGGGGCAGTGGCTTGAGGTGGGGCAGGCATCAGAGCAAAGGTTCAAGACAAGTTGTGATGCCCCTGCAGACCTTAGAACCCCAGTGTCCACCACTGAGCTGGGGGCCTCTGGGACAGTCTCAGACTGCAGGGGCTGGTGCTCTGGGCAGAGACAGGCAGGGGAGCGGCCACAGTGACCAGCCCGAGGGTGCCTGACTCCCATGCCTCCCCGTTCTCCTCCTCAGGATGTGCTCTGCACCCCTGCTCGCCGACTCCTTCAGGACAGCCAGGACATACCCGTGATGGTCACCCCGCTGCGGGCAGAGCGTGTGCTGCTCTTCGATGATGCCCTCATCTTGCTACAGGTTGGGGTGGGGCTGACCAGAGGTCCTGGGGCTTCAGTGGGGGTCTGGGGTCTGGCTGAGAAAGGATTGGAGGGAAACAGCAGGGAGAAAGAACTTGGGCTTGAGGGAGTGGAGGGGGAGGTGATGGGGGCTGAGAGGCAGGCCGTGCCAGGGTGGAGGCGACAGGTGGGGGTCATCCCTGGAGGACGGTGCGCTGCTCCAGGTACATCCCGGCCTCAGCACCTGCCAGCTGGCATCCCTGCTAGGCATCACCTCAGTTTCCTCATCTGGAAAGTGGGATGCTTGTGAGTTTGTCCTGCAGCAGATGCTGGACAATTCTTACTTCTCTTCCTCATGTAGGAGAGGAGCCCCAGACTGGGAGATCCTGGGTGGCTCTTGGTGGCTAAGGAGGGTTGGATGAAGGACCCAGAGCACACATGAAGTTTCTAGAGAAGAGTGCCACGGGGAAGCAGTGCCTGGGTTCTGGACTTCACAGAAAGTGGGGGTTGGGGGGAGCCAGGCCTGGGGTTTGGGATTGTCACCTTGACTGTGCCTAGTGCCCCCTGAACTCATACTGCCCTCATGGTAGCCATAGCACTGTCTTCTCTGTCCTCTCGGAAAGTCAGTCTAGGACTCTCCTGCAGGCTGGGAGGCTGAGGCCTGGGAGGGGTGCTACTTGCCCAGCCCAAACCTGTGTCTCCTGAAGCCTGGTTTTGGGGTTCTGATTCAATTTGCATTCCCCTTCACTCCTGACCTCACGTAAAGTGCTCCAAGTATACTGGATGAGATACCGTCACTTGAATGCACTGTGTCCTTTCCTACCTCTGGACCTTTGCATGTCCTGCGCCAGGCCCACCCTTGTCCCTGCCTGTGTCTGGCACAGTCCTCCTGCCTTCAGGCCTGGGCCTGGGCCTCTTCCTCCTCCTGTGGCAGTGAGGCAGTGACCGGCCTGCCTAGGCCAGACAGGAGGTTGCTACACGAATCTTTTAGAGGAAGGGACATTCATTCATCATCAGTTCTCAGGGCAGGGACAGCATTCCAGGTAGAAGGAGCAGCATGAGCAAAGGGTCAGATTGAGCGGGGTTGGGGGCAAGCCTGAGAAGATGTGAGTGTGGCAGGGCCGTGGCACCTCATTGTGGAGAGGGCTAGGCGTGAGGACATATGAGCCAGGAGTCACCTTTGTGGTCTCAGATATAGGCTCAGCAGCGAGGCCTCCATGCCCCAGGCAGTAGGAGCCTATGGGGGGTTTCCAGCAGGGGCTAAGGGTGTCCGAGTTGTGGCCATGATGGAGCAGGATGTAGGGGAGTGGACAGGCTGCTCCTGGGTTCCTGGCCAGGCCGTCAGATGGGAAGGGACACAGAGGAGCTGCCCTGGAGATGGGAACAGGCTCAGTGCTGGGCATGCTGGAGTGAGCCACTGGCGGAACACCCAGCGGGGTGGCAGCAGGTTGGTGCCTAGAGCAAGCCTGGGCCAGAGCAGTAGGGGAGTGTCTGGTCTGGGCCCTGGGTGACACCTGTACCCCATTTTCTTCCAGGGCCACAATGTCCACATCTTTGATCTGAAGCTGGTGTGGATAGATCCTGGGCAGGACGGGTGAGCAGCCCCCTCCCATGACACCCCAGGCCTTCTCTCCCTCCACCCTCCTGAAACTGCCTGCACCCCAGGGCTTGGGCTCCCTGGACAGAGCTGGGGCCTACTCGTCACCTCTATCTATCTAGGTGCATGTTTCACCTCCTCACACCCGAGGAAGAGCTCTCCTTTTGCTCCAAGGACACTCAGGACCGGGTGAGTGGGGGGTGAGCTGTGAGTCGGGGCAGTGGGGTCAGAGGAGTGAGGGAAGGCGCCAGGAGTGGGAGGTGGGGCACAACTATGCCACCCTGGAGGCTCCAGGGATCAGAATGCTGTAGAGAACAGGGCATTTTTCCCTGTGAAGCCAGGACGGGGGCCTGTGCTGGCCCCTCTGGGCAGGCCCGGGCACTGCACACGAGGATCTCGGGTCTGGGTGCAGGACCCTAGGGAGCAGTGTGGAGCAGTTGGAGGTGCTCCAAGTGACAGAACAGGGTCAGAGAGGGGCGGTGGAGGGGGTACTGTCTCCCCACTGTCCTTCCCAGAGGAGCTGCTTGCACAGCAGTGACCTGTCCTGCGTTCCCCCTGCCCCCACCAGACGGTCTGGCAGTGGAAGATGACTCAGGCTGTGTGCCAGGCCCTACGCGGAAAGAAGGACTTCCCGGTGCTGGGGGCAGGCCTGGAGCCCTCCGAACCCCCCACCTGCCGCTGCGTGGCGTATACCTTCCGCGCGGAGGGCCGGCTCTGCCAGGCCACCTACGAGGGCGAGTGGTATCGGGGCAGGCCCCATGGCAAGTGAGTGACCGGGGCTCTGGGCCTGCAAGCCGCAGGGCTCCCCTGCGAGTCCAACGGGGTGGGGGGCAGACAGGACCTGATCGCCTCCGGGCACCAACTGGAGGCTACTTCCTGCATTGGTTGGTCGACCGTTTGTCTTCCCATCTGTCTTGAGCCCTGTTGGAGAGGACCTGGCCCATCCTGGGTCTGTGGGTATAGGGTCTTGCTGATGGTGATGACCCCAGAGTGTGGGGGACAGGCTTCAGGCAGCTGGCCTGCAGGGCTGCAGTGGCTGTTCTCAGGAGAGGGTAGAAGGAGGGTAGAAGGAGAATTCTCGTATCCACGTAGCACCATCTGCTAGCAAAAATGGTTTGCAGACCTCCCATCTCCACCCATCCTTACCAAGAACACTCTGGGGGCGTGTTATCACCCATTCTGTAGGTGTGGAAACTGAGGCCAGAGACTGGCATGACTTGCCTGAGGCCTTAGGGCAGGTTCTAAGGTGAGTCTGGCTTCAGCCGCAGACCTGTGTCAGCCCCACAAGCAGGAGGGCTTTGGAAGAACATGTGTCCCCCAACCCCCGCACCACCTCCGGGAAAGCCAAGGCCCAGAAAGCAGGAGGGACTTGGACTTACCAGGGTTATGTTCACAAGCGTGTTTGTTTCTGATACCTTGCCTACTTCCAGAGAGGGCTCGAGGATGCAAATGAACAACAACGACAAAACAAACAAACAAACAAAAAATATAAAAAAACAATGCTGCGCCAGAAGCAGAGAGGAGGATGCTAGAAGCCACTGACTAGCATTTGACTTAAGCTTGAAGTTTAGCTCTGAGCCTCCTGTTGGTCAAGGGAGAAAGGGAACCTGGATGTTTCTAGAGCTCTCCCTGCCTGTGGGGTGTGGCGAGTGGTCGTGCCAGGAGTCGACAAAGGCTGAGAGCCCCTGTGGGTCAGAGAAGAGGGCTGGGTGGGGGCAGAGCGTCCAGTCCAAGGGGAGCCTCAGCCTCTGAGAGAGTCTATGCAGGAGTCCGCGGGGGGTGGGGGGGGGTGCAAGCTGTGCATACTGGATGGGACTGGTGGGCCTGATGTGTGTGTGGACCCAACTGTCTTCCAGGGGTACCCTGAAGTGGCCGGATGGACGGAATCACGTGGGGAATTTCTGCCAGGGCCTGGAGCATGGGTAAGCCTGGGGCTGCTGCAGGAGTGTGTGGGGGGCAGGTGAGTGGCTTTCGTCCCTGCCCCCGGCACGAACCTGACCTGGTCCTCAGTTCCCAAGGCTCAAGCAGGAACTTGAGGCCATTTGGTCCAGCTCCCCTGATTGCACAAAACAGAAAGCCCGGAGGAGGGAGTGAGTGGTCAGGGTCTGGAGGTGCTCCTAGGGTGCACAGGTGATGGCGGCGGGGGTGGGCATGTCCTAAGAGTGACCCTTGGGAAGAAGAAATGCCTGAGAACCTGGGAGATTCTCCCCCTTGTCTGAGAAGGCCACTCGGAGGCAGGGACACTCCTGGGTGGTACGGAGGGACGTCACGGGGTGTCCTGGGGTCAAGCTGGTGGCCCCTGGTGCTGACTGCCCTCTCCTTGCACCCACACTGACAGCTTCGGCATCCGCCTGATACCCCAGGCCTCTGAGGACACGTTTGACTGCTACAAGTGCCACTGGCGGGAAGGCAGCATGTGTGGCTATGGCATCTGTGAGTAAGTGTCCCTCGGCCTGACAGCAGGCAGGGTGGTCTCGTGGGGTGGCCCCATCCCCGGGGCTGAGCTTGGGGAGGCCTGGCCAGCTATTGGTGGCCTCTGCAGGTACAGCACCGACGAGGTATACAGAGGCTACTTCCAGGCGGGCCTGCGGCATGGATTTGGGGTCCTTGAGAGCGCCCCCCAGGCCCTGCAGCCTTGCAAGTACACCGGCCACTGGGAGAGGGGTCAGCGGAGTGGCTATGGCATCGAGGAGGACAGTGACAGGTGAGTGCCCCACAGGGTTGCGGGGCAGAGAAGACCCTCACAGACCAAGGTGCCTCAGGGCATGGGTCCTGTCATCAGTGGGTCTGTCCATTTGTCCCCCAAGTCTCTTTGAAGCCCCTCACTTCTTGTTCATGACTTTGGATGTCGCTGAGGCTCAGGATGAGGGAGCCCTGAGCTACCTGACCGAGGAGCCTCCCCACTTGGGCCCCTCCTTGTGCTGTCCAGGAGTTTCTGATCCCTGGTCTAGTGCCATGTGAGGACCACAGCCCTTGCCAGAGCTCTGGGCTGTGAGACAAAGCCCAGGGCCCCTGGCCTGGCATTCGAGGCTTGCCCATGTCTCTGACCTCATCCCTGCCATGCCACCTGCACACCCCTCCAACCTTCTAGACCACTCAGTGTTCCCACGTACCTGTCCTATTTGTGGTAGGTTCATAGCTCCAGGGCTTTGCACACCATCTGCCCTTCCTGCCACCTCCCCTAGGAAGCCTGCCAGGATACCTCCCCCAGGCAGGCTCCCTCCCTCCTCCACTCTCTCTTCCTTTTGGAGGTCCTGATCTCTCTTGCCCTGGGCCTGAGTTGAGTGGATTCAGGCAGTATCATTGCTCCTTATCTGCTCTCCACCCCTACCCCATCCATGCCAGGAGAGCACACCGAGGGGCCCAGGATCAATTCTGACCCAACTCTGGCTCCTCTCCAGGGGTGAGCGCTATATTGGCATGTGGCAGGCCGACCAGCGCCATGGCCCAGGGGTCATGGTCACCCAGGCTGGTGTCTGCTACCAGGGGACCTTCCAGGCAGACAAGATGGTGGTGAGTGGGGTGACCCCCGTGTGCCCTGAGCTACCCTCTCCCTGCACTGGGGCTGAATTTCTGGAGCCCCCCTCCTATTCTGCAGGCCCCGATGCTGAGCAGAGTTTGGGCAGGGGTGGATAGGGCGGGAAGCTGGGTTCCATGGGATCATGTCATTGTCCCCAGTGTATGAAAGACAAATATGAGGCTCAGAGAGGTCAGAGAACCTGCCTGGTGTCACGTTCTGTTGAGTGGCAGGGTTGAAGTTCACAGCTGGGTCTCCTGAGGCCAGGCACGCCAGCACTTGCTTCTGGCCTCACCCACACCCTGCCAGATGCTTTGGCACACAGTAGGGCTCTGGCCTGGTGACTCTTATTGTTATTATGGCTTGTACATTTGCTCTTGCTCCACTTTGTTCTGGAAAAGTTTGAAGAAGGAAGAAAAGACCAGAATAGACACAAAATAGATTCAAGTAGGGCACAAATTGTATCCCATTTGGCTCTGAGCTTCCTGGAAACCAATGCAACAAGGGAGCCTGGTCAGCTCCACTGTCACCGAGGGTCAGTGACAGGGAAGTGGGGATGGCTGAGGAGAAGCCCAGGGCTTCTTGAGCAGGAGGTGAGGAAGGAAGGGTCCCTGGGAGGCTTTCTGAGAGAGGCTGCCAGAGAGAAGGAGCCAGGTCCCTGGGAGTCTTTCAGGGTAACCCAGGGGTGAGGTCCGTGGGTCTGGTGCTCAGTGCTCTCAGCAGGCCCACGGCTGCCATCTTGCCTAGGCACAGTCCTGGGAGGTGTGGCAAGGCTCAGGACTGCTCCATCCTGGGTCGAGGCCTGCTCCTGTCTTCCTGCCACACCCTCCCCACCCCCAGTCTCCTGGAAGCCCTTCCATGGCTTCTCCTCTCCCTGGCTTCCTTCTCTAGGGTCCAGGCGTCCTCCTCTCTGAAGATGACTCCTTGTATGAGGGCACCTTCACCAGGGACCTGACCCTTGTGGGGAAGGTGAGGACCACCGAGACTTACTCCACTCCCGCCAAGGCCTCGGGTGGAGCCTGTAATCTCCCCGCTTGTCTCCAGGGCTAAGGGCGTGGGCAGTGGGTGTGGAAGGTAGTAGAGGGCCTCTCCCATCTCCACCACGGCCAGGGGGTGGGCTCAGTGACCCCTCCTGCTGTGGAGTTGGGATTTGATCCTGGTGGGAGTCAGGAGGGGACAGGTGGACTTGCCTTGGGGGCCCAGGGTGTTGGTGGGCCGTGGCTGTGTCTCCCTGCAGGCCTCCGGTTGGGAATGCACCCCCTCCACTGGCATTGATGCCTTGGGCAGGGGCCCCCGGAGTCACTGTCCTTCAGATGTTCCTGCCCAAGCTGACCCAGCAGAAGGCAGTCGGGCCCTGCTTGGGCCTTTAAATGCGGGGGCTGTTTCGGTCTCCTAATGACCAGAGGGCACCATGGCATCTGAAGGCTGGAGGCCAGGAGTGCTATGAACAGGACAGCCCAGGCAGCAGGAACTGGCCCTCCGAAGGGCCAGCGGTGCCTCATACCTTCCCAAGGCCTCTTCCTACTTTGGGACTTACCCTGCACCCCACCCTCCACCCCCAAGTCCCACAGTAGCAGTTCTTCTGCTCTGACTCGAGTTCCTTCCTATGCGCCCCCCTGCCTCCAGCCTCCTACCTCAGAGGTGAGCCCCCGAGCTGTAGGCTCAGCTCTTGGTCAGGGGCTCCTGCAGGTGTGAAGGAATATGAGCCCTCCCAGGGTGGGGCAGATTGGATGGATGGTGGGATGGCGCCCTATCAGTCCCTAGCCCCTGTGACCCAGAATGGACAGGCATGACACCTGTCATGATTGGATGGAAGGGCAGCTGGATAGACAGGCAGACAGGTATCTCTGCCTCTTTTCCCCCGTTTGCAGGGCAAGGTCACCTTCCCCAATGGCTTCACCCTGGAGGGTTCTTTTGGCAGCGGGACAGGGAAAGGGCTGCATACCCAAGGCATGCTGGACACGGCTGCCTTCCCGCCAGATCCAAGCAGCACCCGTAAGAGGTGAGAGCCTGGCCGCCTGGCCGCCTGACCTGTACATCCTGGAGGGTTGTGTATGTGTCTGCATTTTGACCTCACGGACTCAGGTCTCATCAGAGGGGCTTTTCTGTACTTCCTCTTAGCTCTTTGGAGAGTTCAAAGAGCTCGGGCCACAAAGCCCTCAAGTCAGAGACTCTTGGAATCAAGGGCCATGACAGAACCTCACACACACACACAAAACTGGAGAGAAATATTATGCATAGGCTTTGCTTAGACTCTGCTTTTTTTCTGGGAAGGGTACAAGATGGTTTGTAAAACTAACACAAATAAGAATAAAATGGAAAATAAAAGTAAGAGTTGAACTGAAAGGAAAAGAAGGTACAAATAAGCCCTATACTGGTTATGATGGAACATGAACCTGGATCCAAGTTCCCTGGCAGCCAAGGTGAAGAAGGAAACTTGCTAAGTGGACTCATTGTCACTCTTGTGGGGTCTTTGAGAAGGGGATAGACTTCTTCCCCATGAGGACAGAATTATTCCTTGGAAAACTGTAGCTCAAGTGGTGACTTTTGCCATGTCTGTTGAGATGTGGGTGGTAGTTACATGGCCCCAGGTAGCATTTCGGATGTCGGGGGGTAGCAGAGTTGAATACTAGACCCATCATCCTTGCATGCTTCTCCCTGACCGCAGGAGCTGGGGGTAGACAGCAAACCCCAGAAGCAGGACCAAGCTTGGGTGGGGTACAGGTGTAGGACAATCTGTGCACGTGATGTGGGAGGGCAGTGCTCCATTAGGCACACACACGGCCTAGACCCCCAGGCCCATTGGCCAAGACAGGATCAAGCTCAGGAAGGAACCAAGTGTGTTGGGAGGGAGAGTGGGCTCTGCAGGCAGGAGGATCCTGGACTTTGGGCCCTGTTCCCTCTTAGGCCAAGACCCCACTGTCTGGATTCCAGCTCTCCAGATCTTTCTGTCTCCTTTCCAGGGCTCTGTGTGTCTCTTTCCTCTCCACTATGGAGTAGATGCTCTGTGTCCTCTCTGCCTCTCCCTTCTTCTCCTGGAGGCTTGGAGGTCAGCCCCTCCAGTCTCCCCACCCTTCCTGGGCCCTGACTCTGGGCCAGGTGGGACATCCCTGTCTCTCCAAGGGCCTGGCCAGGGTCCTGCCCACCAGAGCACCATCGCTACCTCCCCCACTATCCCAGGCAGCTAGGTGTGGGTGCCTTCCCGGTGGAGAGCCGCTGGCAGGGCGTCTATGGCCCCTTCCGGGACTTCGTCAGTGCCGGCTGCCCTGGGGACCAGCAGGAGGCCCTACTGGGCTTCCACGTGCAGAACGCAAGGGAGCTGCGCAAGTCCCAGGAATACCTGTGCTGTGAGAGGTGAGGCGCAGGCACGCACGTGTGTGCATGTGTGCACGGAGGCACCCACAGGGGCATCCAGAGGGCCAGGGTTGGCATCTGTGGGGCTCTGAGTGGCCTGGGGAGGAAGGATTCCTGGAGGGGGTGCTTCAGGGCCCAGGCCCAGGTGTGGGTGAGAGACATGTGTGCCTGGTGCCCCAGGACCCAGCCCGAGGCCTGTGCGGGCAGAATGGAAGACGTCCTGGATGAGCTGCTGCAGCACCGGGAGCCCAGGGCGCTGCGGGAGTGCCTCAGGAAGGTGAGGGCCCTGGGGCAGGGGGGTCTGCAGGGAGGGGACCTCCTCACTGCGCCCGGTGGGCCCCTTCTCCTCGGAGGGTCTCAGTGTTCCCATCTATGAAGTGGGAGCTGTCTTGGGAGTCTTGTTGGGGTGTGCTGTGCTCCAGTCCCTGGCCCTGGACACCTCTCTGTTGCCTTTGCACCTGCTAGGCCCTGGGCAACTCGCTGCACCCTCTGGGAAAGCTGCTCCGGACGCTGATGCTAACCTTTCAGGCCACGTATGCCGGCATTGGGGCCAACAAGCACCTACAGGCGCTGGCCCAGGAGGAGGTGAAGCAGCATGCCCGGGAGCTCTGGGCCGCCTACAGGTGAGCCCTGGGACGGCAGGCAAGTAGGGCTCTGGCCTCTTCCACATGGCAGGTGCTCTGCCAAGCACCCTGGGCGGGAATGGCGCCTCTGGATTGGGGAAGAGCCAGAGAGCGGGTCAGGCAGCGTCCAGCTGGTGAGCAAAGGGGTTAGAAGGTAGGAGATTACATCCAGGGCTGCCTGCAGGCAGAGTCCTCGCCTCGGCCAGGCCCCAGGCCGACCCCTGACCCCAGGAGCTCTCAGCCTTTGCAGGCTGAGCCTGACTCTGGAGTCAGACTCCATCTCCAGTCCCGGCTGAGCTAAGACTCTATCTAGCATTACACATGGGGGCCCCAGGTGCTGCAGTCCTTCTGTTGCAGGGTGCCAGCGCTCTGGGGCTGATGTCTTGTGCTCCCAGCTTCCTAACTGCAGAGGCCTGGGAGGCTGGGCTCCGGGGCGTGGAGCCTGCTGCCCTAGTCCTTGGTGACTCGGGTTCTGCGGGAAGCGGTAGCCATGCTGTCCCTCTGGCCCGTTTCCAGGGGTCTGCTGCAGGTGGCCTTACAGCGCAAGGGCCAAGCTCCGGAGGAGGACGAGGATACAGAGACAAGGTGACTGTTCCCATGGGGCCTGCGGGGTCCCCTCCCTGGAGGCAGCCAGCCTCAGGACCCGGCGACTGCACACTTTCGCTCCCAAAGCCTCCCTCAGTGGGGGTAGGGGTTCTTCTGGGGAAGTGTTGGGGGCTCATGCTATCGACCAAGCATTGTTCATTGACCATTTGAGGGTCCGAATGTCCCATGACCTCAACCTTGGGTCACCTGGGAGGGGGCACCATCACGTTGTGTCACGTGTATCTTTGTGGTAAATGCGCTATCCCAGCCTCCTCCTTTAGGTGTGCAGAAGTTGAGCCTTTGCCCCGGACACCTTCCCCCCTACATGCAGACGAGGAAACTGAGGCCTGGCAGGGGCTGAGCCTGAGGTCACATAGAGTGAGAGTCAAGTGGGTTATTCAGTCTGTCTCCCTCGATCCCCATAACTGAACTTTACAGTTTGCCTTCAGAGATCCTATCAGCGAGGCCATCCTCCACGGCAGGAGACGTGGGAAATGGGGTTAGACGTTAGGTAGAACTTCCCCCCCTGGAGTCCCAGGAAGGCCAGAAAACGAAGAGGCAATACTGGACCAGCCTGGAATGGCTGCTGAGTGCTTCCCCGCAAGTCCCTGGTCTCCCCAGGGCCCCAGTTTTGCTTTCCATCAAATGGGGATCAACTCCTGCCCCGGCTGCCATAGCGGCTCTCTCAGTGTCACGTGAGAGGATCAGGTGGCTGCAGAGTTCCACCAAGGCATGAATGACTGAGAATGGGTTTCAGAAGCGTTTTCTAGAGAATGGAGGACATGGGGATGAGGAGCTCCAAGGGCTTTTTGAGGGGCGAGTCGTGATCCCTGCCCCAGCCCCAGGTGCCCCCTCCCTTCCCCCGGTCCCAACCTGTCCTGGCCACTGTCACCCAGGGACCTGCAGGTGCACGGACTGGTACTGCCTCTTATGCTGCCCAGCTTCTACTCGGAGCTCTTCACTCTCTACCTGCTTCTTCACGAGAGGGAGGATGGTCTGTACAGCCAGGGCATTGCCAGCCTGAGCCTCTTCCCCGACACCAAGCTGCTCAAGTTCCTGGACGTACAGAAGTAAGCCTCCCTGCCTTGCCATGCTTGCCAGGGCTCTCGCAAGTGGAGTTCACGTTGCCTCTAGCAAAATAGGGCTGGTGTCAACTGGCTCAGGTACCCACGAAGTTCTAGGATCATGCTGGCGAGGCTAGTTTCAGGCGTGGCTGGATCTAGCTGCTTAACTGAGTGGTGAAGGGAAGCCACTTCTCTTCCTCTCTTGATGTCTCTCTGGCCTCCACTGATGGTGACGAACATGGCACCAGCCACTCAAGATTTATACTGTACCCACTCAGGTCCCCACTGCACTCTAGAGAGCTGGTGTCCCCTTCACAGCAGCTCCAGCAGGGCTCCCGAAATCCCTCCCTGGTCTTGAGCCTGCCCCGAGATGCTGGCTGTGGCCCACTTTGGCCAGCCAACCTCGGTACCTACCACTGGGGCGCTGGGGCAAGGTGTTCTGCTCCCAGCAATTGGACTGAGTGGGGGAGGGGAGGTCTTCAAGGGGAAACCGAGGACTGTCGTGAGAGCAAGTCCCTTGTACCCTCAGTTGCTGAAACATCCTTTTTCCTCAGTGCCCTTTCTGATCCACTGATGCTACAAAGGAGGGTGTGGGTGCTCTCTCTCCTCCCACACTTGGTCCCCTTTGTCACACAGCAATGGTGCTCCCAGCCACCCTCTCTGAAACCCCATTTCTCCTTCCATCATGAATGTCTCCTGCAACTGACAAGTCACCAGCCCAGAAACCTGGGTGCCAACAGCTTCCCCAGTGTTCTTCCTCCCCACCCCCTCCTGCGGCCTCTGTGCTCCTTCCTCCATGCTGGCCTCCCTGCTTCACTGTCTCTCCAAGTTCCTGTCCTGTGCTGCTTTGCATGGCATGTCCCTCCCTGTGCACCAGCCTTCCCTGGCCCACCAAGACTCCAGAACACTCTCTTCTGCTGTCATTCTCTGGCCCAACCACCAGGACTTTGCTCCTAGGGTCCCTTGGTGTACAGCGCTGCCCCTCACTCCTATCCAAGTTTTGGGGGGCTATCCACTCCAGAATCTCTCCCAGCCTCCCCTTGGGTTCCTCACCAGCACTCCAGGATGCCGTCATGGACCCCTTTCCTTGGCTCAGCCCCGCCGTGGGTCCTGGCATACAGGGGGTTTGCCCCCTGACCTCAGACCCTGCCCCCTCCTTCTGGTAAAGTCGCCATGTCACACTTGTTTAATTTCAGGCACCTGTGGCCCCTCAAGGACCTCACATTGACCACCAATCAGGTGAGAAGGTGGGTCCATTACCTGCCCCGGGTCGGGGGAGGCTGGAGCCTTGGGTAGGGCCCCCAGGGTTTGCTCAACCTTCTGATCAGGCCTCTGCCTCCCTGCTGCAGAGGAGCTGGGACAGCACAGAGATAGGTGAGGGGGGAGATCCCCAGCTTTCTGGGTCATTCTGACCTCCTGTGAGGGTGTAGCCACTGGCCCACCATGAGCAGGTGCAAACATGGGCTCCCCCCTTTTCCTGGCTGTGTGATTGTGGGCAGGATGCCGATCTCTGAGCCTCAGTTCTCACCCGTGAGGGTGCTCTCATGCGGTGTTGGTATCCCCGCATGAGAGTGTTGGGAGGGCACGGGGGCTGCTACACACGAGGCGGTGGCTCTCAGGCTGCTTGCTGGGCCAGCGGTGTAGCACCATCTGCGGAGCTATTAGGAAAGCAGATTCTCAGACCTAGCCAGACATACTGAGTCAGACTCTGAGTGTGGACCTGGACTTTGTGTTTCAAAAAGCCCTTGTCTGAGAGCCACCGACATAGGTGTTCAACCCCCGGTGGCACCCAGTGTAGATTGGGATTGTTATCTTCCTTCCCAACCTCCTGGAGACCCTTTATCCCACTTTACAGTTGAGTAAACTGAGGCTCCCGGTGGAGCTGTGGCTTGCCCTGGGTCACTTGACCCTCTGGGCAGGGCTGTGCTGGAGCCAGCGAGGGGGAAAAGTGGTGGCAAGAGCTCCAGCCCCAGGTGGGAGGGAGTGACAGATCTGGGGGGTGGGGGGGACCGTGGCCTCATCCACCTCCCCGCTCCCTGCCATGCAGAGACTCTCCCTGGTCAGGGACAAGTGCTTCCTGTCAGCCACGGAGTGTCTGCAGAAGATCATGTGAGTCTGAGCCCTGAGGAGGGTGAGGGGTGGGAGGCGGGGGTGTTGGGGCTGAACCTGAGGGCCTTGATCTGGAACCTGCTCCCCTGCCGCAGCACCACAGTGGACCCCCGGGAGAAGCTGGAGGTGCTAGAGAAGACATACGGGGAAATTGAGGCCACTGTGTCGCGTGTGCTGGGCCAGGAGCACAAGCTGCCCATGGATGACCTGCTGCCGCTGCTCATCTATGTGGTGTCACGTGCCCGGTGAGCCCCAGGCTGGGGGCTGAGCTGCAGGATGACCCCTTCCCATCTTGCCTGACCCCCAGCCAAGACACACTCTTGAGTCTTGGAACATCAGGGTTTATGGACACAGCTTTTCTTGGTACAGTGTGGGGGGTCTGAGGCCCAGAGAAGCCCACCTAAGGTCCCGCATGGGTGCCAGGAGCAGAGCATGGGCCACATCCCAGGTGTCCAGCCACCCAGGTCAGGGCTCCCTCCCCAGCTGCCCGGTGCCTGTCCCTGATGGGCCCCGTTCCTCCTCTCATGGTGGGGGTGGATGTTCCCCAGAATCCAGCACCTGGGAGCCGAGATCCACCTGATTCGGGACATGATGGACCCCATCCACACGGGAGGCCTGTATGACTTCTTGCTCACGGCCCTGGAGGTGAGGGAGAGAGGTGGTAGACTGAGGCAAAAGTACCCTGGCCTGTGGGGCAGACCCCTTCCCTGCCCTGGACCCTGTTGTGGGGATGAACCCAGATTCCCTGCTCATCTGTGCTCCTGTGGGAAGGTCCTCACAGAGCTCTTGGTCCTGCTGTTGCTGGAGGGCTGCAGGGGGGCCCGTACCTCATCCCAGCCCTGAGGTCCCTGGGGCCCCGAGCCTGTTCCAGGCTGTACCCCTGAGCATAACAGGAGAGGGGAAGCCCCCCTTCCTTGCAGACAGTGGCCAAGGCCAGGTTGGAGACGCGGTGGCCCCGGCCAGGGAGATGGGGGCACCCTGGTATTGGGGCGTCCTTGCACGGGGCCGGGAGTGGGCAGGCTGGATCCCCCTCAGCCTCGCCTCTTTCCCACCAGTCCTGTTACGAGCACATCCAGAAGGAAGACATGAGGCTGCTCCGCTTTCCTGGCCGCTGGGACTCCAGGGAGCCCTGGTAGCTCGGCCTCTCCCGGGCCGACCGCAGAGCTGAGAGGCGCCGCCACGGACTTCCCGAGGGAGCAAGCGTGACCCGGCCTGGCCCCCATCGCCCACGGAGCAGAGGGCAGGATGCGCCCCTGGGGGAGTCTTGGAGGAGATGAACAGTTCCTCCGAGGGAGATGTTGCTGCTGCCCTGGGCGGGCTGAGGGTGGGGAGCGACACGTGTGCCTCCACGGCCTGCCATGAGGTCCATCTTGGATGACGCCCTTGACACATGCGGGCTCTTTGCTGCCTGAGCTTTGCTCCCATTATAGAGCCTCCCTGGGCCTCAGTGTTGCTGTCTGTATACTAGTGGGCTGGACTGTCTGGGACGGACCTTCCACTCATCTTGCTGGATTCTGGAATCCCTTCTGGAAGTTTGACGTTAGTCTGCTGGGCTGAAATCCTCACCTCACTGTCAGTGTCGTTGTTTCCCCACTCTTAGTCAGAGGCCCCAACTTGCTAGTGACCGCTCTGTTTATTGGAACTTTTGTCCGCTAGTGGCCTCCTGGGGACCTGCCTCCTTCCTGATTGCCCCAGAGCTGAACTGGCCTTTCAGGGAGGCAAGGCTGAACAAACTTGCAGTCCACTCGACCTGCTGGGTGTCCTCTGGCGTGGCCCTTCCCCTTGGTGGTTTGTGATAGAACAGGTGCCTGGAGGCCTCCAACAATCGTGGATCTGTGCATACCTGATGGTGCCAGAGCAAGCTGCAGGGCAGGCTGTGCAAACTCACCTTGTGTGCCTACGAACCACACACCTGTAGCCCACAGGCCTGTGTGCAGGACAGCTGGCTGTGCCCTGTCCAGGCTCAGCACTTTGCAGGCATGTGGAGAGGCCAGCGGGAGCTCAGGTGCCTTTGGGAGGGGAGGACCTCATTCCCATGGTGGTTCTAGTGTGGGACACAGTTAGCAAGGTCTTGGGGCAACTTCCTCCCTGCCTGGCCTCAGTTTCTTCTTCCCACATCGAGGGGCTTGGGCCAGGTGACCCATAGGGGCTGCTCCCCCTGCCCTAACAGTGTCAATAGGCAGGGTGACTGTGTTCTGAAGTGGTCTGGGGGTGGGGTGAGGGCGGGGTGGGGTGAAGCATGGAGAAAAGGTGGATTTATGCAGGGATATGGCCCCAGGCACCAGGGCCACCCTGCCACCATGCCCTGGATTGTAAATTCTCAGCTCCAAGTGTACTTTCCATAGACAAAACCCTGATCTCAAGGCCTGTGAGGGAGGGGCTGAGGGAGGCTCTGACAAAGACCAATCACACCTGAGCTGAATCCCCACTGGGAGCCTCAGGGTGGGGGCTGCTGGTGGCTGAGGGGACACCCACAGACCCTCAGGTGACGTAGGGCTGTGGGGCGGGAGTGAAGCTTCCTTGGGCTGGTTCTGCCAAATGTAGCAGTGTGAATGAAGTCTTGGGCTCTGGTTTTGCCAGAAACCCCTGTGGTGTCCCCACAAAGGTCCCTGGAAGGGGGCAGCACTGATGACGAGTGGCGGTATCCAGATGCTGTGGGCGTTCATGCTTACCCAGGACTATGGCAGCCCACTTGTATTTTAAGCCTCTTCAGTGGTCATCAGCTAGTTCTGTGACAAGTGGGGACAGACTTGACTCAAGGGGCCCTGAGTTGGCGTGAGGCTCCAGCCCCACTCAAGATCCATAAACTCTCCCTGTAGTTCAGATCCACCGGGACCCCTCCACCCACGCTATTGCTGGGCCTTGTCCAACACCAGCTGAGCCGGAGCGTCAGGACGGCCTCGGGAGACCCTGAGGGCAGCCGGGGCCGTAGCAGACCCTTACCACAAGACCAGAGATGGTGAGGACATGGACTCTGAGGTCAGTGTTCATTTACAAAAGAGACACCTGGAGCCAGGTCACCACCCACGGTGTGGACACCTTAGGGAGGCCGATGGAGGTGGGTCACCCGCAGGGACCCCCGCAATGACCTCTCCCGGCTGCTGCAGGAGCCCCTTGGCTGTAGCGAGAATACACTAACATCTACTTGGGAGGTCAGGCTGGCATCATGGTGAGCTGGACAGTGTCAAAGTGGCTTGGTGGGGCATGGCTTGGGTCCCGTCTGCCCCCTTTCTAGTCCCCACCTTGTCTTCCAGGATGAGGATTCTTCTTTCAATAGTGCTGGTGACAAAGTGGCAAAATTCATTATAATTGACCCTCATGATCTCCTGGGCCAGAGAGGCAAGAGGTCAGGGGGTTCCTGCTCTTTGACACCTGCAGGTGGCATTCTGACAGGCTGCAAAGGGCCATAACAGTCCTGCCCTGGAGGACCTGGATTTGGGGCTGAGAAAGAGACACCTGAGAAATTAAATGGCCTCTCAGATGTCACACAGCCTGACCGTCCCCGTCCCCGCACTGCAGCCCCAGCCCTACATGCACCCTCTCCTGCAACCTCTCAACCCCTGCTTCCTCTGCACCCCCATTTCCCTTCCACCCCCTGCAGGAAATGCCACGTGGGAGCCAGGTTACATCTGTTGAATGGTTGTGGTTGGTGGAGATGGTGTCCTCCTGAAGGGGTTTGGGGTGCAGAGGGGCCCCTGAAGTCCCCTGTAGGGGCTGCTTCCCCCACCCCTCAGTCAGCGAGCCTCACAGGGGCCTCTTGGATACCAGCCCTGTTCCCTGCATGGGGTATTGTCTGGAAGAACGTGGAGCAGGTGTGTAGTGTTGGCTCTCCCCAGAAAGGCACGGAAGGTAGAGAGAAGAGGAAGCCAGGGAAGCTGAGTCCTCAGGGACCCCAGAGTAGGAGCTGGTGGGCGACTAGAGGGCCCAAGGTCTGACTAGGCCTCTATTCAGATCATCCTTGAGGGTGCTGGGAGCCAGGGCCCAAACAAATCCCTTGCCCACTGCAGCCTTGGTGAAGGCTGGGGGGAGTGAGTGTGTGGGGGGCAGCCAGGGAGTGCAGGGTTGCTGGAGAAGCCTCAGCAATGCTGGGTAGATGCTCCCTGAGTGAGCTCTCTCCTAAGTGAGAGCCACGTGGCCTCAGCTGAGGGACGGCTGCCCACTGTGGGACCAGGGAGGGGTGAGCCCTGGGGAAGGGATGAGTTCAGGGTTAGGGTCGAGGCCGATGCTAGGGACTAAGGTTAAGGTCAGAAGTAGAGTCCATGTCAGGCTAGGGGTTAGGATGGGAGTGAGGGCCAGAGTTCAGAAGGAGTTCAGGTCAAGGTTAGCATGAGGGTAAAAGTCAGGTTCAGGTCAGTGCAGGGTCCGGGTCCAGGTGGGGACTTTCCTGGTTGGCCTTGTCTGAGGTCGTGCAGACATGAGTCTGGCTTGTATTACTCCTGCTGTGGGCAGGAACCGGGGGTGGGGGCTGGGCAGCCAAGGCCTTGGTCCCCCTGTGACCATGGCGCAGGCCTTCCCCTCCATGGGTCCTGTTTGCTGTCTGTAAGAATAGTCGCTGTGCAAGACCTGATCATCTGGGATCCAGTTGCTTGGGTCTCCCAGCTCAGACCCTGAGCATGTGAACAAAACCACTTTTGGGGTGACTGCAGCCTCCACTGCCATCTGTCGGGAACCATAGGAGATGCCCCCCACCTCAAGCAACAGCTAAGCCAGTCAACCCCAGATTCAGGAGCAAACTGCATAACTACTGGTGTTTCAAGCCACTGTTTGGGGGTGTCTTTTTAATGCGACAACAGATACATAGAACTGTCCTTTCTCCAATACTCACTATCTAACCTTTTATTAAGAACACTTTTATATGCTTCCTTCTTAAACCCAGAATTTTTTAAGATGGGAAGCTTCGTGTCCCTATGTATGTGGAAATCCATCATCAATGGCAATAAATGGAAGACAATTGTATAAAGTAATACAGGAAACAACCACGTAATCAGTTTCTACATAGGGACAGTGGCCATTCACTGCAAGGGCCCCGGGGGTGGGGGTGTGAGTCCTGCTGGAGGCTTCCCAGCACTCACAGAACCCCAGGCTCCCTTCCAAGCCCCATCACCGGCTGAGATGCACCCCTTTCTCAGAGTCCTGGGATCCTGCCCCATGAAGCCCATTTTCCAAGCTTCTAAGTTTTAATATTTTTAGCCTCTTTCCTTTCTTCCTCCAGCCCCAGGGAGAGGGGCTGCTCTCTGTAATTCTTTGAGAATTCTCATTTTGCCTTTTCAGTTCTTCAGTTGCTGCGTGTCCTAGGCAGCATCAGGGTCACCCAAAGCTATCCGTGACCTAATAATCCCCAGAGCCTGTGAATAAGTCACCTTACCTGGCCCAAGGGATGCTGTAGATGCCATTAAGTTAAGGGCCTTGCAATGGGGAGGTGATCCTGGATTACCTGGGTGGGCCCACCCTCATCACAAGGGTCCTTAAAAGTGGAAGACAGAAGACGATTGGAGAGCTATGACTAGGAGGAATGGCCTGAAGCATTGGGAACAGGAGGGAAAGCCTCCAAAAGCTGCAAGAGGCAGAGAAATGGATTCTGGCTTAGAGAGCTTCCAGAAAGGGACACAGCCCAAAGAGAGCTGTGTCGGATTTCTCAGCTCCAG